CTAGCATTATTCAAATATCAGCAAGGTTTTTAATCTCACCGGTTACACTGGTTTGCCGCACCGACCGTTCCAATATTAAAACTGGTTACACCAGTGCAATGCACCACTAGTGTCACCAGTTACGCACGAAGTGCACCAGCGAGCACATAATTTCAACGCTGCTTGAAATTATGTGCTCGATTGACCAATGAATATGAAAAGGGAAATTCTCTAAATCAAAACCGAAGTTTTTTCAATAATGAGTAACTGTCTTATTATCTACGCTTGTTACCTTTTATTATTTAAATGTTGTTGATTTACGGCTCAATGAACTGAGGATGATCCGAAAACATGTTATCACAAGACAGAGGAATGAGCTCCCCTGTTTTGGTACCCCAAGGACAGTTAGTTAAATGAGCTTTCGCTTGTGGAAGAGAACAAGGCAGTACCGGCCAAACGCTATGCGAAGCGTGAAGGTAGCGGGTTCGAATTCCGCTGTGAATGTCCCTCTCAGTATTGTGCTGAGTCTAGTCTTTCTACTGGATTAAGGCTTATGAGCCTTAATTAAGCACACAAGCCTGTAAATAGAAAATTATGATAATTAATAATAAATGTTTTATTAACTTTTTCATCAAAATAAACAAACGTATTAAAGCTATGTTTTGAAAGGTCATTGAAACTCATTGCTAAAATGTACATAAAGGTGGGATTAAACAGTTCTCGTTCAAGGTCTTTTGTAAATTATATTTATTAAAACCTAATCGTGAAGAGCATAAAAATGCGGGAAAATTTTGCAAACTAAAAGGAAAGTATTTCTTATATTTCATTCAAAAAATAGGTAGAGGAAGTTCTCGATTCTCACCCTTGGTTACAGGAAAAATTAACATACTTAATCTAAATTTAGAACCAAATGTTAATATTAAACATGAGAACGCTATAACATAACTATATGAGTAATAAATTTAGGCGAATTTAGATAAAAAAGTAACAAAAAAAAATCATAAAGCTTTTTATGTTATAGACATCAGTGTATGTCTGTATATATATATACAGAAAATATAGATATAAATAATACAGAGTTAAAAATATAGAGACATCATGGAAAATAATAAAGATTAATGAAAAGAGAAGAAAAATTAAAATATTTAAAAAAATAAATGTAGAATTACAAATTGAAAAGCCAAAAAAAAAAATTTTAGAATAGTGTGAGCAACACTCAAAAAATTTGAAACAAAATAGAAGTAAAAAATTTATCACTCAAAAAACAGAACAAAACGAGAAAAAAAAATTACTTTGGCTATATTGATACAATATTAGAAAGCACTCCTTTTTGCGGATATAATCGTGTAAGCTGATGAAGAGATTATATCTTTTGTTTTCTAGCTTTAAAATATATATTTTTTAAAAATATTATATTTTAACATTTTTCCTTCTCTTTTTATCAATCTTTACTACTTTCTGTGCATTCTTTGTATTTTTAACTTATTTTGTGAGTTCTTTATACACTTACAGTTTATGAGCAGCAAATAAGATTTTTTTTTCTTCTTTATTGTGCTATATATATACATGTAAGTTAAAAATATTGAGAAAACATGGAAGAAAATGCAATAAAATTTAATGAAAAGAAAAATAAATATTTGTAAAAATTTTCTGAAAAAGCAGGAAAATAAAATAATGAAAAGATCTCATTTATCCTTTTGGTGGTAATGTATCGATACTGATACATATATATTATAGTGGTATCGTAGCATAAATAAGTGGAGGGGGACAGTGGAAAAGGGTCGCCTGCTCTGCTTTAATGAGGTTTCTCTACTCCCCAACAAGCAGGCGCGAGGGCCCTATGGATCAAATCGTCTTTCAACATTCTAGGAAAGTAGTCTCTTATTTATGTCAAATTAAACCTGCATCCTGGGAAACATTCCTGAAAATGGTCCAAATACATGCTATCACAATTTTGATCCTCTGTAAAGAGAAGGCTCTTCCTCTTTGGTAGCTGAAGAACCTAAGCACGACATCAAGCACTTTAACAATACCACACACACGTGGTCCCTTTGCAAACTGATCACCCACCCACTCATTCAGAGTTTCCAGCGATGTTCGACTTCAAGGAAAAATACATTTAAAACAACACGCTTAAATGATTAGGAAATACTGAAAGTTTCTATCAAATATATTAAAATCAAACTACAAGGATTTATTTAAATAAAACACAGTTAAGACTTTCATTACATGGAAGTTATTGGAGAAAAAAAAATGTATAAAAATGTAGTATACATTTGAAATATTAACACCTTGAATGACATAGGGGTCACCGGTGACCTGCACTGAGTTTGTTCATAGCGCCACAGGAGGTCACCAGTAACAGGCACTGAGTTTGTTCGTAGCGCCGCGGGGATTGACCGGCAAAGCCAAAATTATTAGAAACACATAATTCGAGTAAATTTTTAATGCTTTTAATTTTTTTATATTATCGTTACTAAAATGGTTTGAAGAAATTAAAGCAATCAATACAGAACACAGAAAAATCATTTTGGCCAGACTGGCAAGCCATGTAAAATTAGCGTAACATTCAACGTGTTAACATAAAATTGCAAATAAAATATCTGTAGTCTTAGCGTTCTCTTGTCAAAAATAAAAATTTGCTAAATAATAAAAGTTACTGCAGTTTTTATTGTCGTTTCCTAAAATGGACAACAAGAAAAAATTTCATTTTATGACGTAACTATGTTAACTCTTCCCCAAAACGTTGTAAGGGCGTATAATCGAAATAAAGTATAAAAGCTGAAGCAAAAAGACTTCAAAAATCTAATTCAGATCGCAAGATGCCCTAAAGTGAACTGCAGAAGCTTTTCTAGGATTGGTGAGCAGGATCTAAAAATCATAAAATAGGTCCTATTTTATGGATCTAAAAATCATAAAATAGGAGATATGTTTCTACACATCACTAAATAATTTTATACCTAGATTTTTTTTATTTTTCTAACTAAAAATAATATAAAGCTGTTTGCAAAGAAAACAATATATTAAATAAGGTCATATATAATAAAAGTGGAATCGTATAAAATATTGTATCAGTTATTATAGTATATTCAGTAATTGATATGTTTGCCATTATCAAAGATTGTCTGCCATGTTCATGCCATATGTTTGCCATTATCAGCAATAATTAAAGATTAACCCACAGTCTACCTTTAAGATTTTCTCAGTGTCATATTCAATACAATTTAAGGGCAAGAATCCAACAGTCGTCATATCCGCATTTAAATTGTGATCACTTGTGCAAATACATATTAAATTAACTAAATACTATGAGTCGAAATAACACCAAGAAATTTCAGAAGTTTCCTAAATGAGAAGCAGTGGATAAATAACACTATCTAAAAGCTACAAGTGCTAACTATTCAGTTCCAAAAACAGACACATTACTTTCTCCATGTAAATACTCCACATCTTTCTTTTTTTCCCGTTGACAGATTTGCAACTTGGTCCAAGACTAGTCCTTTAAAATTGATTTCACTTTTACCAATTTTTCCCTAACTTTTTAATCAAACTAAGTTTTTTTGAACACAATTATAAAATTGCTTTATTTAAGGAAAATTCCAAGCCACACTAATAATTTCCACTAATGATCGAAAAAAGTTTAGGTTTGTAAGATAGACAAATTTTTATGTCATTTTAAATGATACAATTTGAACAAAATCAATTTAATAGTTTGAGTTACTAAAATTTAAAAAAAGTTGCACTTTTGAATATTTTTTTCTCTTTATAAAAAGTTAGCACAGGCATAATTTGAGGTTAATTAGCATAATTTGAGGTCAGCTCTCTAACCCTCCAACTTTGAGTCTCTGGATAAAATTAGGGGCCATTCAAAAAGTACGTACACAAAAATGGAGAAATTTTAAACCCCTCTCCCCTTCGTACATTACCGTACATAAGGTCTTACCCCCCCCCTTAGAGTACGTACATTTTATTAGTCTACCCCCCTTTTTCATAAAAATTAAAATAATTATGTTTTAAATAAAATTAAATATTTACTTAAGGAGTGTGTAGGATAAAGTCAAATTTAAATTTGGTGTATGTTTATAAAGTACGTACTTTGTATAATACCTCCCCCCTCCCCATCGTACAAAACCGTGCATAATAGCAAATCCCCTCCCCCCCCCCTTCGGGATGTACGTACTTTTTGAACGGCCCCTTATTCGGAATTTTTTCTGCTACACAATAGTTTTCTCATTCAAAAATAAGGAGAAACTGGTGTGCTACTGGAACTATGAGAAACTGTTCAGAAAAAGGAAGGACTAAGGATGAAACAATTGAGATTGGCTCTTGTGTGACAATCTAATCACTAAAGAATAAGCTACTATTAAGGGTAAAATATACGTAAATTATCTCTCTCACATCATTCAGGGCATCTATATTCAAGCTCTATGGCAAGAAGGCCCATGAGCAATAGTGCAACTTGGATGGTCAGAGACAAAAGCTGAAAAGTTGCGCCAAAAAGGGCTTAAGCTAAACAGGAACAGTTAGAGGAAGATCATTGGTCTAACTGGACACTGCCCCATCAGAAGACACATAATGGGTGTTGTATCTGACCATTTTTGTCGAGGTTGTCATCTTGAGGAGGATACTTTACGACATATACTTTGTTGTGAGGTCTACTCTGTTCAAAAATTTTAGCATTTAGGGCAACATTGCATTACTTCCAAGACATACCTGATAGGTGTTTGCTAAACTTTATTTTAGTTATAAAGCTTTCTTGTTAATCATGATTTAGGGTTTGGGTACAATAGACTTCTGGTCAATGTGCCTTGCTCTTTGGAGCTGTCCAACCTCTAAGTCTACTTTCTTGCAGGGGAAGGGGTTCACTGAATACTTACTGATAAATTTTAAAGTCTACTGGGGTTGTGGTTCTTAAACAATTAGAATTACGACAATGCTCGTATAATAATTTTAAGGTAAGAGTTTTTAGGAATGACTGTAGTCTACAGTGTTTCGCATTACAAAAACTAAAACACATAACATTTCTGAAATATGTTTAATGAAAAGATGACATGTAACAATTTTGTAATTACAAGAGAGCACACATTATACAAAAAAACAATCCTATTTAAAATAATCAGAAAAAATCATGACTGAAAGGTAATTACGAAGAAATAAAATAATAATAATAAAAAAATGGAACAAAATCATCCATTGGTTTGATTTAATGAATTTTATTCTCAAAAAACAAATTGCAGTGCAATACTTGTAACAGTTGCAGTTAAAGGTGAAAATAAAATATACTAATAAAACTATAACTTCTTTATGTAGCTGCCAACCTCCAATAAATTCACATAAAATATGGCTTTTTTTCCCCCCAGTTACATAATATCTTACTGTGAAAATACGTAAGCAACTGAATTATTAAATTTCTGAAATTATTTTGCATGTATGCATAGGGTGGCCTGAAAAAGTTTAAGTGTCTTAGGTCTTCTTTTCAAAGCGTGGAAAAATTGTCAACTACCATAATTAAGAAGCATACAAAATCTTATAACTATAAATTGATATCTTCTAAATCATAGGACAAGAAGCTGAAGAATTTAAACCAAAAATTTTAGAACTAACTCAACTTTTGCCACCTCAATGCCACCAATGTTTAGTCTAGTCTTTTTTCGCCAATCAAATTTCATTACCAGCAGAAGGAGTGGGAAAAAGAACAAAAAGTCTGAAAAGTGTTATCAACTCTAATCATAAAAAAATGTATAGAAGAGCGTGTCAAACCATTATACACAAAAATAAACATTTTAATCAGTTACATACTTATTTAAAGTTTTTTTTATCACTGTATGTGTAATTTAACTATCCAACTGTTAAGATTTATAAATATATAAATCATGATTAAAATAATAATGTAAAACAACAAAAAATGTAGAAATATTAAGAATTCTTCTAAAGTTTAGAAAGATGTAAATTTCACCAAAAGTCTGAAGTATTTCTTGCCTGGTAGAATATAGTGAGTTATATTTTGTACTGATAAAATTTTCTTTAGGAAATTTTAACTTTTAGGCACTACTGCAATCAAATAAAAAAATTCTAAAATTTTAAACTTTTTCGGTCAAATCTTCTTAACTTTAAGCTGAGTAAGGCAACTGAAAATATAAATTCAGTTATAAGAGTTTGCAGATTTTTTTAAATGACTTTTTTTTTGCACAAGCATTAAAAGATGTAAAATGTTTTAAATTTACTGGCCCTTCCTAGTACACTAGAATTTTTTTCAAAGTTAACCTCTCAACTGTATACAGAATTGGCAGCTGTGATCTTTATTAAAAACAGCTTTTGTTCACCACGGAAAATATGTCATATTTCAAGAACTCATAAAATTATAAGCTTTAAATACTGTGGTTGGCACAAAATTCAACGTATTCAAAACTCTTTGGTGAAAAAGATGAAGACAGACTATAGAACATAACAAATTAAATACTGTCAGAAAAAAAGTTGAATTACTTTTTTAAAACCAAAAAACTATAAATATGCATCATTTTTTACACATTTTACAACATAATAATTTGATTTGTTCTTTGATTCATTCAGCAAAATCAGTAACAAACTCAATAAACATACATTTTTGGTTAACTAAAACAATATATATTCATATGCATACAAATATTTGGAATGTTTCACATTCTTTAAAGATGATGGAATCAAGGTAATAGTACTAATGTGTGCATAGTTATGCAAAAGCATTTTATTTTTACTAAAATTAAATAACAAATATAGAACAATTCTTATATAATATAAAACTTTTTTGGAAAAAATCAGTCCTTTAATCACAAAAGGCTGCCTTTATTTTAGTAGGAAGTGTTCGCTGCACCCCATGTATGGCAGCACAAGGCGTCAAGTATTATTGAAATGCAGAAGATCTTCCTTATAGACTTTCTTCCTTCAGTGAAAGAAGGCAATTCTTAAGAAGTTGGGCCTGGGCCTGGAAAAAAATATTAAATCACTAACAAATTTAAGGAAGGTTAGAAAGTTATATTAATATATGCTGCTAATATTTTTATTAAAATTGCAAAAGAATGTACCATATATTTTTGAATATAAGCTGAGAATTTTCAGACAACTTACAAAAGCTAAAGTGAAGGATTCAGCTTATAATCGGATCCACTAACTTTGGAAATTCCAGGAGGATATCGCCAATAGAAATACCTCACCTTTTCAAGGCCAGCACTAGGGAATAAATTTCTAGCAAGTAAATTAGACAAATTTTCTTTTACTGTTGGGAAGGAGTAAATGAGCAATGAATGGGATAGAGTAGTGTTTCCCAAACTTATGACTTTTGTGTACCCTTTCTACATTTTTCGTAACGCTGCGTACCACCAACAAAAAAAATGAATGTATTTTTTTTTTAAAACTATGCTTTTTTGGTACAAAGTTTTGTAGATACCAACCTGCAATCCATGTTCAATGTTAGGAATAAAATTATATTTTGTAAAAATAATCAATATAAGTAGAATTTATTACAAACCTTTACTATAAAAAAAAAATTGCACAAAAGTTACAAATCACAACTGGCTGTTGACATCACTCATTATTAACTGTCAACTCTGCAAAAAATAGCCAATAGAAAAATACATAATCCTAAATTTTTATGGGTAGCTTTGTTTTTAAATAAAAGTTTTTGAAATTTTTGCTTGTTGCAAGATATTTCACATAAGAACGTGTACCCCCGCTAAACTGTACCCGTACCCCAGGGGGTACACGTACCACACTTTGGGAAACACTGGGATAGAGGATTAAAAATGCAGATGTTTGTTTTGTCTTTGAGGAAAAAAATAGTCAGGGTTAATTTTTGATAACTTCTTAGACAAAAGTTGAAATAAAAAGATAAACCTGAAGCAACATTTGATGTTCTGACTATCTTTTAAATAAATATATTTCATTTTAAATAAAACAGTTCATTCTTTAAGTCCTTATTTTTTTAATAAAAGAATTTTTACTGTCTCCTTTATTTTTTACTCCTGTCATTGTAATCATTCAGAAAAAAAAAAGGATCCTGGTAGAAGATAAGTTTTTTGAATAATTTAATTCTGTTTTATTGGTTTTTACACTACTCAGATTTTTAAACAAAATTTGGAGGATGTCTATTGCCAACAGAGTACAGGTGGTTTTACGAAATCATTGAAAAATGGTGATCTATAAAATCAAAGTTAAATTTTCGTATTTTAGCAACCGTTTTAAATTTTTAATAAGTTTATTTTAATAAACAATATGTTACTGTCATTAGAATACATGGTTAATGCAAAAATAATTAGATGCTAAAATACATTTACCACTTATTATGCTGTTGTTTTTTTTATACTCATATAATATTTCTAGTTGAATCCTAATTAGCTATACAACATATCTAAAGGATAATTATTGTAATGAAATAAAAAGGATATTGTAATCAAATAAAAAGTAGAAAGATTCATTTTAATGTAATATCAGAATCTTTTAAGGGGACATATATATTTTTCTTTTCAGTTGAAAAATTATTTTGCCAATGCTTTCACAGAAACACAATTCACTTCACCGAATTTACGCTATTACCACATTTGATGAGGGGGTGAATGTTTAGCGCCGGCCCTGCGTTTTGTCGAGCATTAGTGATTATCATTATATCTGTGTGATACCAGAAATATTACAAAACATACATACAAACCATAAAAATAGTTGAAAACTGAATGCCTACATAAAAAAATTGAAAAAAGGACTACACTATCTTTCATTTTATCAGTTTTGTAAGCTGAGAATGATCCCTTTACCAGCATAGCAGGTTTTTTAAACATAATGTCTTTTATTTGGTCTCCTTTGTAATGTTTTACTTAGGCTTTCTGCCAATCCCTAATGGTAATTGAAATATATGAGGGGAGAGGGAGAAATAAAACAAGTTGGAGCTGATGTTATGACCGCAATGCTCACCTGAAATGCTTGCAGAGTGGGTACATTTCTATTTCAAAGCATAGATGCCTTTTATTTTTACATCCACTTACATACAAGTTATGAATTTTGGGTGAATTTCCAAATTACAACAATAAATAATAGCGATCATACTCTTTGGCTTACATGCAGAAATATACCATACTTAAAATGCAAAAGACTTTACATGTTTACAAGTGGAATAAAATATTTATACACAACAAGTTCAAATACATTAGAAATAGAAAAAAATACACCATCTTTTTTACTATCAGATACATAACATTTTATATTTTTTAATAATTTGTGACTTAGAACATTGATTAGGCTGAAGCAAAGCAAAAATTGAGGATATTGTTGTTTGAGCATGGAATAAGAGCACTGTATGTGAATATTTAAGTAATTCTAAGAAAGTACAAAATTTTAATGTATATCTTCAAAATGCAGAAGAGTTGTGAGCTATGTTAGAAACAAATGAGAGTCTGTTTGAAACTTCATTAAATACAGTCAGACCTCGATATAAGTTCACCCTAAGGGACATCACAAAAGTGATCTTACAAGCAGGGTCACCTTTAAACAGATTCATTAGCAGTTCTTAACTAAGCACGTAAATAGTATACATTATGATTTTTTAAAAATGGTAATACAAACGAAAACGATTGGCCATAAATTAAATATTTAAGTCAATAAAATTTTAACAAAATTAGTAAAGAATTAAAGAAAGTTAGATTTTTTTTTAAAAATTTAATTTAAAATAAAGCTGTTTTCAAATTTTCTCAAAGTGTACATACATACATTACATCTTACCTTATTTAAAATAATCATTTATGCAGGTCTGTCTCGTTTTTAGTTTAATTTTTAGAACAATGTTTTCTAGATTTTGTAACTTCTTAAAATTTTCCTAAGCTCCCTCATGATTTGAAAAAAAATTTCGTATGACATTTATTGCATTGAAGGCTTCTACTTGGGTAACAGCTACAGTCTCAGGAACACTGGCATTGTCCTCACTGTCTACAACTTGTGAAACAATTTCAGAAATTGTAGCTTGTTCGCTGGCTGCAACGTGTTCCTAGAACTCGACAGGGGTAATTGCCTTGTAATAAAGTTAAATAGGCTTTTGTTAGAAAAGAGATCCCCTCGTCTTAGATAAAAATGACCTTATTAAGCGATAACGATTTTTAAAACTTGACCCTATATCCGATAATCTGTAACAAAGAATTCCTATTCAGTGAGTCAGGACTTTGGAAAAGTGACCTTATGTGCGGGGTGACCTTATGTGCGGATGACCTTATATCGAGGTCTGATTGTAAATTGCATGCAATAGCCTGTTTTACATTTATTTACAATATATAAAACAATGCAAATTTAATAAAATTAATTATTAGACTAAAATATAAATTTAAATGTGCACATTATGGTGCTAAAACACTATAACTAAGTTCAAAGGGATTTATATTTACTGTTTTATAATTTAAGTAATACAGTGAAAATCCAAATATAAACTGAAACAATGACTTGAAAGAAAATGCCTACTAAATAAAAAAAACGCCAAGTTATTAATCTAAAACAGTTAAGAATATTTTAATCAGTCATAAACTAGTTTCTTAACCACTTTTTCAAAGGTAATAAAATACATTTTAAATAACGAAGAAATTTAATTTTAAAATAATTTTTCAATAAAAAACAACTGGGTACTTTTTACCAGTCCTTCAGAAATGAAACAGATAATTTTGATTAAATAAAAATCAATTTTTCTTAAATATATTTTCAAAAACTTTGATTTGATATTTGTTCAGTTAAATTATTATTGGAGTTAAAATAAAAGTTAAATTTATATTTAAACATTTTTAAATGTGTGTCAAATTAAATAGGTCCTTGAATGTTAATGATGTGAAGGACCTAAACTTTTAAGTAAAATATTGACTGGTTATTAAATATAATTTAAGATAAAGTAAAAGTTTCCTTTGATTTACAGAACATATTTCAGTTCCCTGATATGTATCATAAAACTAAGAATACATCCTAATTAATTGGGGATACATAACAAAATTGAATCATTCTTGCCCAATTATTCTGTAATCAGCTCATTAATAAATTTTCTTTTATGTATATAAAATGGTTTACTTATTAAAAATAACTTAAAACAAAAAGTTAAAATAACATGTTATGTTAAAAATAATAAAATATGAATGCATACTTAAGGATAGCTGCAGAATGCTTTAAAGAACTACATTTTATTTAAACTGTTCAATAACAGAAACATAAAATGGAACCCTTTAAAATTTCAGATTAGATTTATTTAGTGAAAAATCTTATCAAATTATATTTACATACATGTGGGATACCTTTAGAATACTTAATGGAACTGTTTTGTATTAAAACTATTATAATACCTATTCTACTAGCTAACAGGATAAAAAAAATTACTAAATCATTAATTGATGTTATGCTATCATGCGCAAAATTGAAATTCATATTAAAATTACACATTCAAAATAATATTTTTTATTCTTGCTTTTCCCACACACTTTACATTAAAAGATAAAGAAAAGAAGCTTAACTTATAAAAATAAAGATTATACTCATAATTTGGCAACAAAAAAAATGATGCTACTTATTTAAAGTAAACTCATGAAGTTTATAGCAATCAAGTATGAAATATTGCAGACTTTGCACTTTTAGCATAAAACATTTTATTTCAATTACATTTCATTTAAAACATTTCAAATTATACAAGCACATTTCAAAAGCATAACTAAAAGCAAAGTAAGGACACATTTTCAGATAATTTTCTTCTCAATTAGTATTTTGAAAGCTATGTTTTTTTTTAATTATTAAAAAATAACAACAGTGATGTCGCTAAATATGCCACAATCACATTGATTTTATTTATTTTTACCCTACATAAGAAAACAAAGATTATTAGAGATTGTGCAATAAACTCAACGAAACTCATTTCGAAAAAAATAAAATTGTAAGCTAGGAAACATTGAAATTTAAGAGGGGAAAAAAAAGTCTGCATTTTAATTGCAACATGATAAACCTATGAGAAAAATAAGTTTTTCACATGTCCCTCCCAAATGAAGGAATTAAATTTCTTGAATGATTTTGAGAATTCTAGGCAAAATGTGCCTTTTGCACTCGCTGTCCATATTTAAAGATCCCAGCAGAAAAAAGTTTTCAGGACTTAAGAGAGACACAAACTTATTATTATGTTATTAGACAGATGCAAAGTAAAGAACCCCAAGAGGCTTTTTTTTCTCTCACTCGCTAGTATTTTATTTAAATCCTTCAATTATTTACTATGCGATAATCGCCAAAATTATAATACTGGACCACTTTTGGCAATAGGTAGTAAAAAATTAAAAATAGTGCACATTTTAACTTTTGAGATTAGAAAGACTTAACAGATAATAACACACAATGTTAAGCTATTTTTAAATCTAATTTTAGACAAAATGGGTCAATATTGATTATTACAAATATATTATATAACAATACCTTAGCATGTTTTATTTCTAATTCAGCAAGTTCCACTAAATTTCGCTTGAAGGCAGCAACTCTACGTATTTTAAAGTCTTGCAGCTCTGTTGAAAGATAATCAATATAAAGGAAAAGTAAGACCACCAATCAAATTACAATAAAAATAAATAAAAATAGTTTTTTACGAAACATAAATTCCATGATAATTGTTGCATGATGTGCTAAATATCTTACACATAGGGAATTTTATAGTCATCACAACAGAAAAACTGCAATATTTTCCAGTTATGATTGACATTACACATACTTGAAATGTTATATTTTATCTTTACTCATAATTTCGAATATTAATAGGCATTTAATTCATTAAAGGATATTTTTTAATTAATTTAAAAAGAGAGTTCTGAATAAACATAAATTGAACATTTTAGAACAGAAAAAGTTTTGAACCGATTTCTATAAATGAGGCTTGCTTCATTATGTATTAGTAATACCTATTTAAATATTCAAGCAAGCAACACTTGGTACAAAAACTATTTCAATTAGAAATTTTTTTTTGACACTTATTCTAATTTTAGGAATTTTCTAAAATGTACAAAAACAATGAGAATTTTAATTAAACCAGTAAAAACTGGCAAAATTCAGTAGTCTACTGGAAAATCCAGTAAATTTTCAAATAAAGCTTATAACTAAATATATTCATTAATTCCAGTACTAGCTATTTAATAATAAAATAATATCAGGATATAAAACTCTTATCTAATAGAATATTTTATATTCTATTAAATTTATTTTCTTAAGATACAAATCTCATAACTCGAAAAGCCATTGTGTTGAAAATAACAATTTATAAATATAAAAGCATGAATATGATATATTCATTAATTTCAGTATTAGCTGTATCAATAAATATGCAAGCGCAAGCAATCTGAAATAACTGCATAAACAGTTTTACCAATTAACTGAAAATGACAAATAGCTATTACTAAGCTTAAATTTGTAATAACTTTTGGAACAATTATCTCCTGATTTCTTTTTATGATTTTCTTTTTATATTTAAAAAAGAAAGGGTTGGAGAGAGAAAAAGGGGGAAGATTCTTTTATTTCATTAAGTAGTCAATATTATTAGCAGTAGAATTATGCAAAGTTGCTCTTTTTTTTCTTTTAAATGAACGAATAACACTTTAACGTCTTGGAATTTTTACTACTTCAATGTCTTGAATTTTTAGGCAATGTTTTAGATCTCAAAGCAATCTGAAATCAACTCCATGAGAAGTTCCAGGGGTCGGCGAGAGACAGAGAGCATTTTTTACGAAATGTAATTAGTTGGAGCCGTGATGGCTCAGGGGATAGAGCATGTGCCTCCCAATGTAGCGAACCAGGTTCCAATCCCAGCGATGGCTGGTTGATAGGAATTTCGCATCCAGCTTGCACCGACCACAGTTCTGATGTAAAATATCCTCAGTGGTAAATGGATCATGGGTTAGAGTCCCCTTGATGTCAGGCTAACTATGGGAGGTTTTCCTCTCGCTGTAACACAAAAGCAGGTTAGTTCTATCATAAAGTCCTCCTTGAAGGCAAATTTCTTCCACTACTTGATCTAGGAGTTCCCTTGTCTTCTGGATTGAGTTAAAAATTACTAGGCTACGGAGTTGAATATTAGTAGTCGTAAGCCAAAAAAATTAAAAAATTGTCCAACGATGGTTATAAAAAAATTAAGAAAATGTAATTAGCTTATTAAAATTTTTGCTGCATATTTCTAATGCACAAGATAAAGATTTTATTTTCTTCATGATTATGTTAATTCATTAAAACTCAGTAAAAAACTGTATAATTTTCACATCAAAAATATATTAGTAATTTTTAAGCACGTTTTTTATTTTATTTTTAGCCCTACACTCTCCGAATAACTGGCGGTAATTTTACAATAAGCACTGCACATAGTCAACTATTAGAAAAAGCATACTGTTTTAGTCTAATTACATAGTCAATTACTAAATACTAGTCAATTTAAAATGAATTGAAATTTTGATTTTAAATTATTTCAAATAGAAATAAAATGATCAAGCAGGTGGGGAAGTTGTTAGTATCTTGGAACTTTTAAATGCTGTAACCTTTGACCTCTTTGCTAGCTTATTGTGGTCAGATGGAACAAAAAAAAAAAAAGAAAGAAAAAAAGAGAGACTTTTTTCCTTAGAGAAGAGTAAACAGAGAAGTTGAATGATGAAACAAAATTTTATTACAAATCATTCATTTATAAATTTTTTCCTTGAAAAGCGAGGATTCAAAGCAAAATTAATAGATTTCTTTTTTAAATTTATTTCAACAGAAAATAACCAAGAAGGGGCGCCAATTGAGAGGGCCCATCAGGATTGGTCCCAGTATGCCGGTGGGCCAGTCCATTCTAGGGAAAATTAAGAGCTTTTTAGAAATACCTGATCAAAAAAAAGAACCTTTAAGGGCTTTGAAAAAACAAAAATCCAAAATAAATACCTTTTAAAAAAGCTACGGACCCCGTTATATTAATGACCCTGAATCATCTATTCAAAAACTGATGATGCAATGAAGTGTATATTACTTCTCGTTCTCACAAGAATAAACTAAATATTACAATGTTATTGATTCTTTGTTCTCTCCTCTCTCTCATAACCGTGCTTAACAAAAATTTTTAAGAAAACAAAACCTTAATAAAATATGAAGTTTTTATCTTAAAATGTCACATTAAGGAGGATGTCAGTTTTTTTTTTAAAAAAAATATGATATTTTGAATTTACTAATATTTTTTTAGCAAACATTTTTTTCCATTACTGCATTTCATGTTGGCTCCTGGTAAGGTCTTTCAATAATCTGCAGCTGCAGCTCCAGTTGTCTCCCCAACCCTTTAATACAACCCTGTTTTTATTTATTTAGTATTATTATGATTATTTGCATTGCCAATTTTTCAATGAAAGAAAAGGGGAGAGGTGTCAAAAATGCATCTTTATTCACAAAAGCTAAACTTATTGCCAACTTCATTCCATTTTATTTTGTTTTATCAGCGACATTTATATTATCATTTTGAACATTCTTTAGTTAATTAAATGACATTAAACAGGAAAAAAAAATAATGTTTTTGCTTGAAAATTGGATGTTAATAACCTTCTTCTTTAAAAAAAAAATTGAACCAGTTCTGGCCTTAGTTTACCTTAAAAACTATTATCTGGACATGGGAAAGTCTCCAAGATTCTGTATACATGATTGTATACACATGATTTATTGCATCTTACAGTAAAATATACATAAGTAATTAGTTAGCTTATCTTAAAAGGGGCTAAATAGCTTGAGGGAAAGTATTTAATTCAGAAGATTTCTTCAATTTGATTTTCTAATGTTAAGAAATAAAAAGTTTGAAAAAATGACCAAAAACCTGATCTTTCTGGTGAAAAAGTCTAAATTTTGTTTTCTTGGTGTTTTTTTTTAAATACAATTCTAATAAAAAGACACCCAAAAAGATGCCTGATGTTCGAACAAAGGACATGTTAACTAAAAAATTAGAAGCAAAAAGAGAGCTGAGAAAGCACTTTTTCCAAAGCAATAAAGAATTAAAACTGGACATTTTTCCTAGGGAAAAAGTCAAAAGTCTCTTTAAACACTTAACAAAAAGACACATAAAAAAAACCTAATAAATTTGGACTGTGTGCGCATGAACTTCAAAGATTTTGAAATTTTTTTAATGTAAATTTGACTACAAGAAACATTAATAGAAAAAGTGAACCAAGAAGAATGTGACTCTTCATTTATAAAATGAAAGGAAGTTAAAAGTTTTCTCTGCTCCCATCTAATTCTACTCTGTCAATCAGAAAGTTTTTCATAACACAAATAATCATTTAATTACTTTACTCTGCAGTAGTTTTTAAATTATATATTACTAAAATCAAAAATATGCACAAGCATTTAGCATTGGAAAGAATCAATAAACAAAAAAGCATAAGTATTGTTAAATAAGTAGTTCAAATGCAAAATTTACTAGCTGCAGTTTTTAAATAAAGAAACATAGGAAATGGAAGAAAAAAACATGTTTAAAATTATTATGCAAACAGAGAAAACCTTTCAAGATATTGAAATTTTAAAGCAAATTGAATTGAATACAAGAACATGCTCATATTGAAACTGCAAAAAAAATAGAAATTACACAAAATTAACATGTTCTAGAAATTACATAAACAATAATTTTTTTTAAAAAACAATATATTTTCAACTTATTTAAATGTGTCAGTTTTACTATCAGAAAGAAGAAATAATTGAGAAAGTTTAAGGAAATGAAATTCAAAAGTAAAAACCTTGTTTTGCTTGTTTCGATATGGCTTCAAAACGATCACAGGCCTCCTGTTGAGCTGTTTCAGCCTAAAAGAATGAATAAATACAACATTAGCAACAAAAATTACTCATTCTTATAGAATGGCATTCTCGTTAAAATGATGAATTCTTAATTCTTAAGGGAAAAAAATTAATAAATAACATTGAAATACTGAGTAGAATATATACACTTATTGCCATAAAAATCAGACCACCTTGAAAGAGTTCTCAGAATGAAACGAAATCTTACAAAAGCAAGTACAATGGTGGTTTAGTAAGTGATAAAAAAAAAATTAAAGCAAAATGATCAATTATTGCATAAAAAATTACAAATGAATAAGGTTTCTATATCTTCTTAGGACAGCTTTTGTGTGAATGCAGGATGAAATACAAACAGAAATTGAGGCATACAATGTCCAAAGCCATTTCTTTCCATAGTTTATGTAAAAACATCGTTAAATCAACTGAACTCAGAGGCCATTCAACTTGCAGTCCCAGAAATGCTTGATCAGTGACAAATGGTGGGACAGGACATTCCTGGGACACTCTTGCTGCATGTGGTCGAGTATCGTGTGTCGAAAAATGTTTCCAGGGTACTCTGCCATAGGTGGTAACACATGTGGTTGAAGGGTGTCATGAAAGTACAGCAGGGTTGTCATGGGACACTGACATTAATATTAGGAGTGATAGCATGTTGTATGTGATGGCACCCCATACCATCACACTAGCTATAGAATCAGTGTTATGCAGTACAGCGTTCAGGCATTCACTGCAGAGCAACTCCACTACAAATGGAGCCAATTGTATGTGGGACTCAACCTTGTCTAAGCTGTATAGTACTTATACAGCTGGTGCGATGGTATGGGGGGCAAACCATATACGACACACGAGCACCACTCATTTGCGGCATCATGGCAAGGCTTTTGAAAACTATATTTCAACAAAACAATGCTGTCTCACACAGGTAGAATGTTGGGGGAATGGCTCTTCAGTCTGCTCAATCCCCCAGATTTCTCACTAAACGAGAATACCTGTGGCCACTCGGGTAAGATGAACAGTCTCCCAGTTTAGTCTATTTAGTGGTGTTTTTATATCAACTAGGGAATAAGATGCTGTAGAACATCAAAAGATACTTTAATGTACTTCAATGCCAGACTAATATATTTTGCATTCACACTAGAAGTCGTCCAAGGGGGCACTAAAACCTTCATTTGTATTCTTTCCTGCAATCATTTTGCATTCATTTTTTAATCACTTACTTCAACATTGATCACAACATATAAACATTGTCCACATGCATGTAAAATTTCTGTCAAGTCTTTATTTCAGAGATTCATCTTTATTTATTCCGAGAAGTCTTACTAGGTGCTCAAATTATTATGGCAATGAGAGTTCATAAAGAGGAGTTTTTATCAGAACAACAAACTTATTGCAAATACCACTAACAACACGAAGGGCAAACCATCTACACAAAACCTACAGGTTTGAATAATTATCCCTTGTTGAATAAAAGGTGAAAAATTTACAAGCTTGTCCCATTTCATTGCACACAATTTGAATTTTTCGAGAACTTTGCGTTAAATGCTGATTTTAAATCCAAAACTTTTTCATTTGAATTTGGAATCACTATTTTAAATTAATACTATACATAATATAGGAAATATAAAATGAGAATTAAATGATAAAACATAGAATTGTTGTAGGATAATTCTAAAATTCGACCCTTAGTAAACTACTGACATGATTAGTTCGGCTTATTAAAGTCGGTCCAGAAGGCACACTATAAAATGACAATGATAATTTGCAAAGAGTTGGATTTTACAATTAGCCCATGGCATGTATAGATATCTATGCAATACTCTCCAGGCAAAGACTCAAGTTCATTAACTCGAACAGCACTCCAGAAACGCGTTTGAATAACAGAATCTTGAGGATACACTAAATTCTCTAACAACTCTTAGTTTTGGAGTAAAATTATGTTTTCCCCCTGATAATTACTTGACTTTTTTGAATCTCATTTTCCCTCACAATTACTGGTTTGTACGAACATTGCGCATAGATATATTTCATAAGTAATTTACAATAAAAACATCAGCAAAAAGTTTTCACAGAAAAATGGTTCGAAACTACTTAAAACAGTTATAGTGAGAAAGGGTGAAATTATATATATAGTCTGTCTGTGTAAAGAATTCCTCTCTCCATTAGTCTTGAACAGTGGCAGTGACTATGGTTGTGGGGTTTAACTACTTCTGAAAGAGGTGATTGGTCAATATTAAGACAGGGTTTTGAGGGTCTGTAAGAAGACCTTTATCTTCAGTCTATTGCAAAGCTCCTAAAACATGTTGTTTCTTGTTTCCATAGCAACAGAGGGCCTTAGACTTTTTGGCGAGAGGAGTTCTTCACATAGGCAGATGATATGTTACCAGGTGGACGTCTTTATTTTTTGCTCTTGCTTTTTCTAAATTTCTATTTGCAGCTTCATAATTGGCTAAGCACCTAAGTCTTCGATAGAGAAGATTCTGAAACAAAAAAAAGAAACAAAATTGATAGACTGGAAATAACATCAGATGCAATGAAGTAAAGTGCTGTATAATGCGCTTACTTTTGCTGCTGCTGTGTCTCTCATGTAGTAACGCAATGTGTCAGACAATTTTAGATCTTCATCTGTTGCCACTCGACCTTCCACTTTCTTTACATAAAAAAATATTAATATTTTATCTTTTAATAAAATATAACTAATCGAAATAAATAAAAAACATATCAAAACAAGGAAATACATAATGCCCATTTAATTCCTAAATTTTAATAGTTATAATATATAAAAGAAATCTTAAAACACAGCAAAAAAAATACATTTTATAAATATACTATTTAGTTATACTTTGTAAATCTATCTTATCAGTGGGCTTTAAAATTTGAACAAGTATAATCCCAAACATAAATATTGTGTAAAATTCACGTAATGTATAAGGTAAAATTAAAAACAAAAATGCAATTTTTTAAAAAGTAATTATTTATTTATTATTATGTTTTTTATTTATTTTTTTTTATTTTTTGCTCGCACAAATGTACAAAGGCTTACCTGAAATTTGGGTATTTCTTTTAATTCCAAATATCTTAATTCTTAAAAAAAAATATATATAAGGAGTTAAAAAGTTTTTTTTAAATGCAAACAAAAAACTATTTTTTTAATTTTGACATGAAATCACACTATTTAATTAAAATAGCTTTTACAGAAATCATGCTATTAGCAGAAACTCAAATAATATTGATCAAACTTTTCTGAAATACACATTCATCAAAAAGTAAGCAAACAAATCAACAAAAAGAACCAATAAAATGGACAAGAAAATTCAGTTAAGTTGAAAGTTATGCTTTCCCATTAGTGATTTTATTTTGCATTTTTAGAGATATTAAGCAGTGAAATAGCAAATTTGATTTGCATAACAATCTCTAATGCAGTTTTCCATCTTCTAACATTCATTTAAACAAAATGAATAACATAATTTATACATGATATGATACTAACTTAACCCTTTTATGACAAGATTTGCGAATATGCGCTTATTGCTGGAGCTTCCCGGGCTAGAGGTTTCTTTGCTCTCAAGCCTAACTTGATGAAATTATCAAAATATGAACGTGTTCTTTCATAATGCACTGATATTTTTGAGACAACTAAATATGTTCATAACGACTAAATACATTACTGAAAATTCTTTTTCAGAATTAAAATTTGAAAATAGAATCCATGCAACTGACAATTTGGCATTACAATCGGTGTACCCGTAGAGACTCATTTGTGTTTTTGACTACTTTTGCGGATATATGAACAAACGAATCACCCTTGTCTAACTTTTATCAGCAGTTTCTTTGGACAAAAGTTTTAGAAAATATCTTTCAGTTAATCTGAGAGAATTTAATAATCCTGCTGCTCTTGGCATATTGACCTTCATGCCATTAGAAGAAAACTGATAAATAATTTGTTTTACTAAATATCTGAAATAACTTGACTAATTGTTGCTATTTTGAACTTTGACATTGTAATACTGAAACGTTGACATCGTAAAAACAGAAAATGTGATGTCTAGAAGATCGATTAATAATTAAAAATTTAAAGTACATTTCAATTTTGCTGTCATAAGCTAAACAACAAATCTGTTTAAATCAAATTATAACATTGAATAGGTTAGTATACTAATTTCTTTTATCACAGTTGCATTTTGATTTGGTGAAGTTAGACTTTATTGAATATATTGATTATATCATTAATTGAAATAGCAAAGTATAGGTTAATAGTTTTCTTTCAATTAAATTGTGCTGAGTCTCAACTTTTGAATTAGATAAAGTGAACAATATTTTTCACCCAGTTTAACTTCAAAACATTTACATAAATTGATATAAGATACAGCAACAAACAAAAAGCATTCAACTCACTCTAGCTTTTTCAAAGGTGTCAGAAACTTTACTGAAAAACCTAGAATAGAATAAATATATGATACAAACAAAAAAATTAATAAAACATTTTTAAATTTGTTTAATCAGTATTACAACAAAATTCTACCAACTATTTTATGTGCATGTGTGCTTTAAAATGAGACATTCAAAAAAAAAAAGTTTACTTTTCAGACTTGCACTTAGTAAACAACCATATAAAGATTTAATTAAATGAATTAAGTCAAAAAAATCCTAATACAATGAAGCCTTAAACAAGCAGTTAAATCCAAGATTTTCCTAAATCAAACCTTTCTGCTTTTCCTGTTAAGATAAATAGCTATTTAGAGGATTTTAAACTGGTTCCGATCTCAGTAAAACTTACGTCAATGCCAATTCCATAAATAATGAAGAATCAAAAATCTCTTATTATTCTCAATTAGACAATTAAAATTTAAAAATTTATTTAATACTTAACATTAAAATATACTGAATGACTTAGTGTTCATTAAATTAATTCTATTAACACAATCCTTAACCTGGATCCTAAGAACCCATAGTTTCAAAATTGTAGAGGAATTACTGAATTCTATTTTTTAACAAACTCCTCACAACTTGATTGAGTATCAACGATTTAACAAGATTAATAGTTTATTTCCCAGATGAACGTACTTCCAGATTAAATTTAACTATCACTGAAATTTGATCAATTTTATAATTAAATTTAAATAAAAGTCAAATTGTCAATTTCTATGTTTGCAAAAAAAAAAAAAAAAATTAATAAATAAATTTCGTTCTTTTTTTTTTGGAAAATTAAAAGTTTGAGATCATTTAGTAAAACATTTGATTATACCTCAAGTGTCAAGTTTAAGCATAGTTCATAAAACAGAAAAGTTTCTAACTGAAATTCATACCTTTAAATACACTCAATGCTATAAAAATGAGAGCACTTAGAAAAAGTTGTAAAAATGAAAAGAAATTTTACATACGTAGGTACAACGTTGATATAAATAAGTGATTAAAAAAAATCTATGCAAAATTATGATTTATTGAAGAAAAAATAAAAATGAATGCAGGTTTTAGGAAATTCCTTGGGCAACTCCTAGCGCTAACACAGGATACAATACAGTAGGACATTAAGTCCCTTTTGATGTCAAGCGGCATCTCGTTCCACAGTTGCTGTAAAAATACCACGAAATCGACTAAGCTTAAAAACCGGATTGCTTGACGAAACAAGTGCTCCAGATATGCTCATTCGGTGACGAATCTGAGGGTGGTAATGTGGTGAAAGTATTTCTCCAACGCCCTTGTTGCGTGAAGATAAGCACTGTTAAGTTGAGACATTGCTCCAAGGAGCCATGCCATGAGTGGCTATACATGTGGCTGAAGGGTGTCACGAACATACCAGTAGGCTGTCATGACACCGCAGATAAAAATTAGGGGTCATCTTGTGTCGTATGCGATGTCTTCCCATGCCATTACTCCAGCTGTAGAAGCAGTGTGCTGCTGTACAGCGTTGTCAGGACTTGAGGCGTTCACATAGGGGCTTCCACACTCGTACAGGACGGTCATCTTTAACCAAATTAAATCTGTATTCTAAACTGAAAGCGATCAGACACCATTTGGTTACAGTCCAACCCCCTTTAATAGTAACACCACTTTAAAGGAAGGCAAAAATGGGTGGGTGTCAATCCTACCTACACTGTAAAGCAGCACACCACTTCTACAGCTGGTGTGCTACTTGATACGACACACGATCATCCCTAATATTGATCCAAGGAGCCATGGCAACCTTTAGTCACAAGTGGTGCACTCATGGCAGGACATCAAAGAGCCATTTTTCAACCAGACAATGCAAGGCAGACACACAGCAAAATTGTCACAGGAATATATGTGCCACATTTCCCTGGCCTGCTTGATCCCCAGATTTATCATGGAACAAGTATACGCAGGATGGCAAGTAGGATAACCTTTGTGATGCCAGAATTGGCATACACATATTTATTTTCTATCTTTTAAAATATCCTTCATTACTTAAGCTTATTTTTATTAATAGAATTACTTTTAAAATAAATCAAAAACTTAATCTTTTTAAACGAACATAAAATATTTATTTCTTCTCTTCCAGATCAATGTAACGGATACTTTCTTTTTATTTCATTATTATGCAGACATATAAATTCACTGTCGCCTCTAATCGAAAACAAAAATCTATTTATAACTTTTGATTCTAATTTTCCAACGGCTAAATGTTTCGGTTGCATGGTTATAATAATTCACATAAATTTGTTGGCGACTCGTGATCGCCAAGGTGTTCTTTTTAACCCATGTGGATATGCTAGTTGGCTTTGTTTTTGGCTATGATATATTATGATAAATCGCCAAATTTTGGATCTCCTACCCATACTCTTTCTCTGTCCGTTGAGAATAAATATATTCACTTTGAATTTCTAAATTGGAAAGGCTGGGACCCCTTCGGGGGACTCCCAGTCTTAATTTTCTAACGGTCAGAAATGTTGTTCTGGCTTTATGATCTCTCAATAGAGAGTATTCTTATTTCATCCCTTTAAGGGATTTCTTATTTTTTGAAGAAATGGCCATTTTATAATTTACAAAATTATGCTTAATAAAATCTAAATTTACATTCAACGATTTGTACATCATTTCCTGGAAACTCAACTGTTATTGTTTTATTCATTCAATATTGGCCTAAATGAACATTCATAATTCCACTATACATCAATACGCCTAATGAAGGAAGCAGCAAAGCCTTTCTTCATTAGGATAACCTTTAAGTTTAGTAAATTTAAAGGTGTCCTAATAGCAATTCTAGAATGAGATGCCACAGGACAACAGGGACTTATAACAGGGATGCCCGACCACACAGTCGGGCATCGAGGCATCCTGTGTTTGAGCTAGGGGTGCCAATGTTGGGTATTAAAACCTTTTTATTCATTTATATTTTTCCTGCAATAAATGGTAGTTTTGCTTTGATTTTTTTAAACATTCATTTATATTGTACTTACATATATAAAATTTTTGTTTCATTCTGCAACTCTTTCTAAGTGTGCTAAATTTTATGGTAATGAGTATATTTGATCAAACTGCATTTACTTCAATTCGAAATTTATATATATAGGAACACTTAATAAAGGAAAATGAACTTTGCAACAAAGAAAAGGAACTTTTATAAACTTCTGAGCAATGTTGAGATATTTAATTTTAAATCTTAGTAATCAAACAAACATGTATTTTTTTTAAAAACCTTCTGTAATCTTGAATAGTATTCATGTTTAATTAAAATGTCTTCTGCGGACTCAGTAAAATAAAATATAAATGTAGTAATCAATTTAGCTTTCAGTGTATATGTAAAGTCAAACCATGAAAATATTTTTCTTAAGTGTGGGCATCATGGTTTATAAAATTAGCTGGAAACTAAATGCTCACAGAATGGATGCGATTTTAGTGGGCAGCAGGAACTGAATTTCATATATAAAGACTAGAAAACAGATGCAAATGCATCACATTTAAATTTCTTCAAAGGTCACAAAAAACCATGAAAAATATATTTAGGAGCTTATTGTATGATTTAATTAAAACTAATTTCATGAATAAGGTTTCAAAGGTTAAGTTTTTAGTTAAAAAGAATTTCATTCATTATAACTCGGTATGACCTTATATTAATGAAATTATTATAATGTCATTCCAAGATCTTTCCCCCTACCTCAGCATGTTCAAAGAGTAATCAATCAATTTCTCATTCTGCTTGTGCATGCTTTTGTCAGTTGGTTGTTTGGTCAGAATGGAGTACCTAACAATAACAACAAGAGCTGAAATATTTACAGTATAGCTCACAGAACTCAATTCTTAGAAGAAGAAAAAATAATAATTCCACACACAGATATTTTAATAATAGAACCATTAAACGGTTTGCCTAGATCCGGATTTAGAATGCTTAGAAGCCAAAACATTTGTGGTTAAATACATGAAAATGCCAGGGATAAGAAATTGATTGAGGATATTGTTGTTGTTAAAATATAATGAAAATTATAAACAAATAAGCTATAAATAATTTCTAAAAATTCAATGACAAGATTAAAAACATTAAACGCAAGTGATAACATTAGTGAGAAACAATTGTGTTAACATAAACATGAAATACAACATTTGAAACTGTTACCCTAATAAAACAAATTATGGCTTCTTTGTTGGTTTAAAAAGAATGATAGTAATTTCTCGATCCCCTTTTTTTAAAAATCGAAAGAGTGAATCGAAAATCACGCATGTCAAAAATACTTTAGCTAAGCATTAAACACTGTTTTCCAAAAAATAAAATAAACCTCAGACAAAAAAATTTTAAATAATAATTGAGACAAATAACTCCTTTATTTTAGTTTCACCTTTTATTATAAAATTTAATAAAACGGTTGAAAACACTCTGAAAGTATGTCAGTTTTGATCTTTCCCTCACAATGAATTCTTAGCGTTCCATTTGTTTAAAAAATTGAACTTCGAAATTTCCCGCAAGCATAAAATAATTTAATAACTATTTTATGAGTTAATTCATTTAATAGTTTAGTTCTTGATGCTAAGTGTCAGAAATTGTAAAAAAATCTCTTGTCCAAACCTGAAGCTGTGTATAAGTCTAATCTCCCAAAATTTAATTGCAAATTATGGGTAAGGTTTAAAAACTCAACTTATTGACTAGAACATGCATCATTGAGTTTAAGGTCAGTATAACCTAAAACTGCGTAACCTAACGTAGACCTTAAGTTTACGTTATTTACAACATGAAGTAAGCATGCAAAGTGTTTTATCTGAAAAGTTTATGAATCTGATTAGACTTTATTTACATTTCAAAAATATGTTTTATGCAAAAAAAAAAGTTAGCGATGCCAGAAGTTTATAAAAAATTAAATAGCATTATATTGCATGATCACGCTCTAAATTAATAGAAAGGAAAAAAAAATAATGGATATATTTTTCTCTACAGATGTGAGCCACCACAAACTCACTGCTTAATGTATGTACCTATTTTTGTTGTATTTTAAGTGAAAATCAGAGTACTTTTATCGTCTATCAGGCAATGAACAATTGTTAAATGTTTTTACAAGAACTTACTTAAACTTCTTACAATTCTACTAAAAGTTAATGTGATATTTAGTACTTATACATAATTATTTAAGCTGAATACTTGTGCTCTTAGGAAAAAATAGCTTGAACTAATTTCAGATAGTAGGAAAACACCTCTGTACAGAATAGCGGTGCCAGCAACTTCCGAATCAGATCCATTTAATGTCTTCATTATTTTACACTATTTTGTATAAAGTTTTCATTTACACTTAATCTTCCTTAGATGGCTTAAAAGCCAACCACTTTTCATAGAATGATATGAATTTTCTGATTGTTTCTAATCAGTAAAGGTATATGTAAGTATATATTTAGGCAGTTAATCTTGTCAGGAAACAATGAAGATCATGCTGAACTTGTTTATATACAATAATTTTGTATCAACTTTTACAAATAACAATAATTTACAAAAATGTAACCGCAGGGAAGAAATCGAAATGAATCTTACTTTTCTAATTCTGAACCATCTATAGTAGCCAATTGAACAAGAGAGGATGATATTTTTATGTAAGTATCAGCAACACCTGAAAAAGAAAAGAAAAAAAGAAAACCATTTACAAAAACAAGTTTTTTTTTTAAGAGGTAAAAATAAATAAAAATTAGAGTGGAAAATGTGTTTTTCATTACGAAAACCTCATTGTTTCTTTACAAATTATTACATATCAATCATACATTTTTGATGTTTTGATTTCAACACATCTCTTTTGTGTTTCCTAGGCATGTATGAGAAAACATATTAGACTAATAACATGCAAACTCTGGCAACTGTTTAAAAAGCAAATGAAAGTGGAGACATAGGACTTGGCAAAAAAAAGAACTCGTTCTTTTACTAGAGAAACAGATTCCTAGTGAAATTGATTGATTTTCTACTTCATAGCTAAGTTGAAACGAGACAACACAAATTAAATTGGAGAAAAAAGGACATCAAATGATAAAAGATACAAGTTTTTTTTAGAGAATCTGAAGATAAAAACTGATTTTCTAGAATTTTTTTTGGAGAATGTGGTAAAAAAACTTGTGGTCCTTAATCAAATTGATCAATTTTCCATTCTTGATCAATGCTATATCAACCTTAGACGATTCTGTTAATCAGCATACAGAAAAATGACAATCACATCAATCTTATTATACCAGCATGTTAACATGCACTTGCTTCAAGGCAATTCAACGAAAATTAAAACAAAAAAGCAAAATTTCAAACTTATAGGGAATAGCATATTGAGTTACATCCATAACAGTCAGTTTTCATTTTTGAAAAATTTTTCAAATTCATGGAAGTAAAGTATCAGAACAAGTTCAGAAAACTCCAAAAGCTATAACAAAAAATATAAAGAAGTATTTCACGAGTGTTAATTTATACACATTCGAAGTGTACAAATGCTACGTCCACAAAGGTGGAATTGCTCTTTGTTACTATTTATTTCAGCAGAACAGAAAACTAAACATTCACTAAGATATACTATTATTTATTGTATATACTGTAAAGACTTGAATGTAGAAGTTATAACTGAATCTGCATTAACGAAATTATAAGGAATTACATTTGCCCTGCGAAGACATTTTAATGTTATAAAATACAGATTCACATCCAAAAAAGAATGAACTAAATTTTGATGGGATTTTGATTTTCACGATGTCCTTACTAAGGCCAGGATAGCCTGGTTGGTAGGGCACTGGACCCATGTCCAAGAGTTTGTGGGTTCGATCCCAGGCCGACCAAAGTCTCCCTGTGTAGTAAATGGTGACAGATGCAGATTTAATCCGTCAAGTCGCAAAGTCCTCCATATTTCCATAACAAATCAATACCTCTCGGGGTACTGATCTAGGAATTTCCTTGTCTTCTGGATAAAATATTCTTACTAATAAATGTTATTAATGAATTTAAATATAGATGAAGGATTGTTAGTATACTCATCACAAATCACTATGTTCTATTTTACAAGTCATGGGAGGTGAAGTCAATTGGTAAGAAATTACTCATTGAAAAAAATTACTGTGAAGTACTACACCAACTGAATAGGATACTTAAAAGCGATGTAGTGTGGGCATATCGATCCTGATTGGTCATTGAAACGTGGCATATGTTACGCAACTGTTCTTTCCATTCTATTACAAGTAACCCGAGCCCCTCAAGTACCGATTCTCGTAAGTGATATATTCTATAATCCTTCACACAAATTCTTTCACAAAGATTTCAATTCCTTCTCTCCATATTTTTTACTTAACACAAAGACACGTATGCAGAGCTCATTCTAGGCAGGGTAAACAGGGCGCAGCACCCTGCTGCCCTTTTAGTCAAAAGAATCCACCCTGTTGCCCCTGAAGTAAATTAGTGCCCTGATATAATAGACTCCATACTCTTTTTGCACTTTTTTTCCTCAGTCCTTTATTTTCCCCCCAAACTCTGCAATGGATTTCCTAAACTTTTGTTATTTTCAACTCTTTTTATTTAGATTGTCATTGCTGTCAATACATAGATTTATATGGGAAAGAAAAATAGCCATCACACCCCCTTGTTGCACTTGTCTTTCAAAGTTTGCAGTTACTTCCACTATCATTAAACCATAATTATTATTAATCATTTTAATTATTAAATCATAACTACAAACACTTAAAAACATACATTTATTATTTTATTAATATATGCATGCATTTTAAATAAATTACTAAGCTAATTAGCTCATTAACTCGATATATATGTTAATTTATTGATACATATTAGTAATTTATATGATTTGCTTTGCTATGTTTAGTAAAGTTAAAAAAAAAAAATTCTTTTACTAATTAACAATGTTTTTTAATTGAACGTGTAATGCCCATAGAAAGAAATTATTGCCCTTTTAGAATAATAATGCCTTTTTTTTAAACTTTTGCACCCTGCCCTTTTTTCTGTCTAGAATGAGCTCTGCACGTATGAAGTCATGTAAAACGTAAACAAACTAGCTATGCATTGAAGTTGCCAGGTACAGAAAACAAAAATATATCACAATTACAATAAAATACATAAACAAATAATAAATGAACAAACTATTAAATTAGAAATATTATTTAATTATATTTCAACAAATTTGAAGAATTATATGCTTTTAAAGAAATAATAATATTTCAACAAACTAGATGTGAGTTATGGTCCAGCATTTAATTGACTTCATGTTAATTAAGATTCTAACTTATGCGGAGAAACTTTGCTCAACTTTCACCCGCCATTTTGCTCATTAGCGATCAGTTGGTGCTGACGTCATACGCCACATGTGTGAAAAACATCTGCGATCTTCTGCAAGTGCAAATAACCCATTCATAAAATTTTATGTCTAAATTTTTCTTTTTAAATATATTATTGTAAAACAAAAATTTACAGAAAACACACTTTCTTAACTTAATTTTTTTTTTTTAATATACATTATTGAAAAGTAAAAACTATGTTAAAACTATTATAAACTTCACACTTTAAAAAAAAAAAAAAAAAGATACTTCCTACTCTATTTAAATTTGATTGAATAATATTATTTGTATCTCCCTTTAAAACTTCCTATGAACTTAAAAATACTTACTCTTATGCGATTGAGTCATCTTATCAGCCCTAGCTGTTGCATTTTTAATGTGACTGTGATAGTCAATTAAAAATGATCTTTCATGCTCAAAAAACTCATCAACATCCTGAAAAAATAAATGATGGGAATGTAAACACAAGAAATCATTAAAATAATTCATAATTTAAAAAAACAATAGTCGAAAATTTTAAAATAACCGTACATAATATTGTAAATTTTATCCTCTTGAGTCAGTTTTATAGGTATTATGCTATGTAACGTTCTTTCTCTTTTTGCTATTTTAAAATTAAGTGACATGCTAATAAAATTATTATAACAAAACTACTTATTAAATTGACTTTAATAATTTATCTCGTGACATTCATTTATTTTTGATGATGCCGGCAATGTCTTATTTGCAATAATTTTGTACCTGGAATTAGAAGTATTGTATTCAATATTTACGAGTAAATATGATAAAAGAAATATTTGCCTTTATTGAACTTCTTTACTCTCAATTTTACATAAATGTCGTGCATTACAAAGTTCCCAGTCAATTTTTAAAATGAAATTTGGGAACTTTTTCCAAACTTTTCAAGAACAAATTTGCAATTTCAGAAATATTTAAAATTGAAAAAAGTAAAAAAAAAAAAAAATTCAAACAGTAGGTACTCACTTAAGTTTAGAACTGATGGATACAATGAGCATAATTTAGAAATATTCAGAAGCTTTCGCTTACTCAATCAGAAATAGCTTGAAAGCAATTTAAATAAATACAAGTTTAGATTTAGTTGTTTAGAAATAACAAAAATTATTTATATACAAAGTTAACACAAAATTACGTTCTTAGTTTAAATCATCAGCAGAAGAAAAAAAAAGAAAAAAAGTCTGCAGTATTTATACTTGAAAATAAATTTACATTATATTACATAAAATTAAACCACAAAAGATTTACCAATAACTTTCAAGTAAACCTGACAGTGCAGCACATTTTTTTGCCATTTAGTTACATGCCATAAAGTACTGTGAAAAACAATAAATAATAAATCCATTTCAAAAGAGAAATTTGACGAGTAATGTTAAAAGATTGACATATTTTTAATGTCGTTAATCTAAGGAACATTGCAAACTATTATCATAATCTAAACTCCTTTCATTACAACTTATGTATCAAATAAGGAATAGAATACCACAGTGCAAGTTAATACAGTAGAGCCCCGATTATCCAAGTTTCCGCTTTAACCGAGCTATAAAATATTTCAAGTTTTTTTTTTCTGACTTATTTTTTGTTTATAAAATTACAGCTGAAAAAAATTTTAATTTTATGTTCCAAATACTCAGGAAAACAAGCTGATGGACAAGAGATTACCAATGAAGTGATCGTTAATATTGTCAATAATGAAAATGAATCCCGCGAAGATGATGAAGACAGTGACAATGTCAATCAGCATAGAAAAATCTCTCAACATAGAAAAATCATCATCAAAGCTATCAAAAGTGCTATTGAATATATAGCACAACAAGGAGAGGCACCACCAGCCTTCCTGTTTATCCCTAAAAAAATGGCGAATGCTGCAGAAAAGAGCCAAAGTAATGTAAATCAAAAAACGATTAAGAACTTTTTTAAGTAAAAACTGTGACTCTTAAAAATTTATGTAAAGTATGCTCTTTAAGTGTTTTTAAGTAAGCTTTTTAATTATAATACAAATTGTATGTGGTGTACTTGTATAAATTTTGCATTTGTTAAATATATTACATTTATACCTACTCTTTTATTCTCCATTTTTATACTCTTCACCTTAAAGGAGTTTTTCGGTCACCCGAGTGAGTCTTGGTTCACATTAACTAGGATAATCGGAATTCTACTGTATAAAACAATTTACTGCAGCTTTTTCTACTAAAAATAAAGAAATACCTTTTGGGTGGTTGAGAGCAACAAATCATCAGCAGATTTTCCCAGGTTACTAAAAAGATCTGACAATATCTCTCTTTTGTTCTTTCCTCTGACATTGAGCTTTAGAAAAACATATGCAACAAAATAAATTAATAAGAACTTAAAATATCAATGAAGAAACACTTAAGAAAGTGTTACTCACATCTTCTTCATACTCTAAGAAAACTTTAAGATTACTATCATTCCTAAAAATAGGATGACATGCCAGACGTTGAAGAAAAACCTCATGCATTGCCACTGTTTTTTTAAAAGTAGCAAGATACTCCCTATAGAAAAAAGATAAAAGTTATGGGTTACAACTTTTATACATAACTAAAAATTCTTACTAGTTTAAAACAGAAAAACAATACAGAGGTTGGTAGGCATAAAATGAGATGAGAAATCAATGCCTTAAAAAAAATAATAATAAAAGTGACCTAAATTATTGGTAAAAAATTGATTGTAAAGTAAGACATTATTTCGCAAATCAATCAAGAACAGAAAAATCAGAAGCAGATTTAAATACAATCCTATTTATTAAAAACTAAATAGCTCAAAGATCAATAAGAGGTTTAAATTAATGTCATGACATTTTAGTCTCTAATTATTGTTTTAATGAAACTAAAATGAAATCAAGTGTACATTTCAAGTTCTTGTTTCATCTTGAGAAATTCCTCTTTGGTCATGGTCCCTTCTCCTTCACTCAGCTTGTGTAACTTTTCTCGTGAAGCATCAAAATCTGGGCACGGTGGAGCAGGAGGTATCTGCAATAAGATAAATAATTAATTCTTTTTTTTTGATAAATGACAAGGTATACATAAAAACAGTGAAAAAGAAGAATAAACATAACACAATAGGAAGGGAGGAAAAGAAACTATCTTGAGTGCAGTTAGGTTGAGAAACCCTGGTCTAATGTAACAAATAATGCAATTACAATGTAACATATTCAATTGTCTTTGCAGATCACAGACAATGAAAAATGCACTATCTGGGTGGCCACTGATATTTGTAAAAAATTCCCTGCATTTTCCCTACACATATTATACACAATATATTAAGAAGAAACACATTTACTGCATTCTTGTGAACTATATTAGGATAAAGATGCTGGCTTAGTTGCTGGAAAAACTTGGAGAAATAAGAAACAACTCTACATAAAATAAATAATTCAATAATAAATGAAATAACATAAAACCATAGAACAAATTATTGAGAAATAACTTTGATTAACGATGGAATCGGCAAAAAAAATCTGTCGATCTTGAAATTAAGAAACATACACAAAAGTAAATAAGCCTTGTTTTACAGAAAACCGAGATGCTTAAAAGTAAAACAAGTGTTTGACAGAAACACTGGAAGCAACAGAAAAAAGGTGTAAAGCCTAAAATAGGCAAAGGATTGTTATTAGGAAACTTAATTGGCAAAGCATGGAAGGAGGTAAAGCATCTGGCAGCAAACACAGTGAGATAAAGTGCAATGATAGAGGTTCTAATTCAAAAGAAAAGGTCAATGTGTGTGTGAGTTTTAATTTTAAACACCGAATTTATAAAATTAACTAATACTTAGAGGTTGAACAGCTCAAAAGAGCAGGACACGTCAACCAGAGGTCTATTGTACACAAATCTTAAATCATGATTAACGAGAAAGCTTTATAGCTGAAACGAAATTCAGCAAACACCTGACAGGAAAATCTTAATTCCCAGGCCTTAATGCAATGTTGCACAGAAATCTTTGAGCAGAATAGACTCACAACCACAAAGTATACGTAGTGAAACCTCCTCAAGACGACAACCTCGACAAAGAGGATCAGATAGAACAACCATTATGCATAGGTGCCTCTTGAGGGTGCAGTGTCCAGAAAGAAAACCACTGATCTTCCTCAAACTGTTCCTGTTTAGCCTAAGCTCTTTTTGACGCACACTAGGACAGTCACGGTTTAGCACTTCAGCTTGTCGCTGACTATCCCAGTTGCGTTATTGCTCATGGGCGATTTTGCCATAGAGTTTGAATAAATATGACCTGAATGATGTGGGAAAAATTCCCAAAGCTGTTTCAGGCCCCCAGAAAATCGCACTAGAGCCAGCTCGTGCAACGAATACTTAGTTAGATAATAATTGTTCCCATCCTCAATATTCTAAGCTATAAATATTTTATCACTTTAAAAATTGTAGTAAAAGAAGCAATATAGATAGTGTAATGCAGCTATTACAATAAGAAATTTTAAAACTTTCCTCTTATTTGAAATAGCATACGAATTGGAAGGCAATTTATCCATCACAGTAAGAAAAAAAAAAATTCAAAATATCTACTCAAAAATATGCAGGAAAACAAACATTTACGCAGATTTTATTTTATTAAAAGTCACTTGGTAAAATTTCGCAACTCTTCAAGAGGCTGTGTCAACCAATTAATTTCCCTTGAATGTAGCAGAGTCCGAAAATTAAACGACACTTCATAATTATAAGAGGATACCACATCATTTTGATGATTTTCCAAAACTTCAAACACTTAATCACTCTTAAATAAAAAAATATATAAACAAAAATTTTTAAAAAATAGGTATAAAATATTAAAATGCATAAAATATTTTTTGAAATATTGTATATACTTTTGGAACAATAATTTTAAATGAAAGATTAAAAGTACAACTTGCATTGTTGTTAAATACAACATACCGTAAAGCCAGCATATTTTTCATTCTCTTCAAAGGAATTATGTAACCACACAAATTCTTCATGTTGTCTAACCACCGAGAAATCAGGTTTAGCAAATACTGGTAAAGTAGTCTAAACGGGAATAAAACGATAAAAAATATAAAGAATAAATGCAGCATGAACACAAAAATACATATTTAATCTTGTAACATTTACACTACAAAATATTTTTTACAGAGTAATTAAATCACAAAATAAAATAATTTTAAACAAAGCAGCTAATATTTCTAAATTACATTTTTTTTATAAAAAGACTTATTGAGTGAGATATTACGACAAAATTCATAATATGGTCAGTAGTTGGAAGAACTACATTTTTGAAGCAAGAAATAAAAAGTAGAAACCTACTATAGTTTAGTTCATATTACTGAATATGATCTTTATAAATATTTAATTTTTAAAAACATTGAATAATTCACACTAAAATACTATGATAAAAGTTAGGACAAACTTTGAATATTCTTTTTTTTTTTTTAAAATTAGTGTTACATATAAAGTTATTTATCAGATAAAAAGGTTTTTTCTCAAAATATACATATATAGAGATTTTTTTAGGTCAGATATACCCATTTTATACCCTGAAAATCAATGTAGTAAAATTCATGTTTTTAAAAAAATTAAAACTATAGGATTTGATTTAAATCTGATTTTTTAATTCAAAAAAGAAGCCTAACATTAGAGGCTGTAAAGCTATCAGATGTTTAGCTTTACAGCCTAAACATCTGACAAATTAATAGTACTTGATATTATTTAAAAACAGTATAGCTATAATAGTAGATATTTCTAACTAAAATGATTCAAAAATTATTATTAATAACAAACTAATAACTGAATGAATAAAATCATGGTTATTTTTGGTTTACATCCTAAAGCTTTAAAAGACCCGGAGGCAACTTGTCATACATCCAATAAAGAGTAAATTTGATCAGAATATATTAGAGGGGAAAAAATTTATTGCAAGTTTCATTGAGCAGAACAAGTCTTTCTTGGTAAATAATAAGATTTAAAAAGTATTTTGAATACTCAAACATAAAACAGAGTATATTGGAAAATTATAATGTAACAGTTTAATGCCATTCTTATCCATTTCAAGTTTGTAAATTTATGTATCAGTTTATTTTGAAATAAAATTATTTACACTTTTATTATTTCTTTGAATAAAACCTTCATTATCACACTTGAATCACACCCTAATGAACATATTTAAACTAAACTCAGTGGCATGACAGCCCATCATTGAAGGCCAAGGCCTACTGTGCCCATCTCAGTTTTCTTGACCTTTGGGCTCTGCAGTGCAAGAGCAGATGTTCTGGTTGGGTGGTCAGCCCAATGCGGAGTGTTTAGTTCCCAAGCATGCTTGGTCCTCATTTTATTGACCCACTGAAGGGATGAAAGGCTGAGTCAACCTTGTCCGGCCCGAGGATCGAACCAAGGACCTGTGGCACAACAGCACGAAGTGATACCACTCAGCCAACAGGTGTCAATGAATATATTTATGAAAATATTTTTGACTTAATGTTTTATTTTTAAAAAAAAAATCAATTGATTTAAACCAATATGGGTAAGCATTTTTCCTACACTAAATATACTTGGGTTTACTTTCCTCTGATGTATGCTTAGAAAGTAATTAAAATTGTTCTTTTCTAATGCAAAATGAAAAATTGAATCATTTTTTTGGATATTGATAGGTTAGAATACTTTTTGAATGCATGTACGAATAGGAAATCAAAACATCGGCCTATTACGATTACCATGTTGATTCTTTTTCAATAATTCTTTATTTGCTTACACAGAATTTTTTGTTTAAAAAATTAAGCGTACCTACTTATTGAGTTTAGTCTGAACAATAATATTTTTTTCTTCCTTTATAGCTTTATTTTTTTATTTAAAGTAATTTCGTTTTATTTATCATTAGATCTATAGAAATTATTAATTTAATATAAAGTACAAAATAAAAATTTTTATTGAAATGAAATGCATATTCATAATAAAAATTTAAGATTGGAAAATATGAAAAGATAATAGAAAATGTCAATTTTCATCAAATAAATTTTTGAACTGATAATGTGAACTATCGCGAACTAATTTTTTGTTCCCCTTCGTCTTGATATTAATGAATTTCGACTGTATGTGAATTTTGCCCTCTTCAAATATTGGATGTCTGTGACGCCCATTACTTTTAAGAAGAAAATATAAATATATATTCCAGTTTTTAATTAAAGCTTATTGTTATTAATTAGAAGAAAAATAATTATACATTTGCATGATCCATCTTGAACAAAATGTTTATGAATTTATAATGATACCTACCAAATACTACAAAATCAAAATAAAATTGACTATAAACAAACAAAATTACAAAATCTAAAATTCAAAAGTTAATTTAAAATATTACCTTTGTATGGACGGTAAATTTAACTTTATCTCTCTCACTTAATGCATCAGAAATATCTACTACGAGAGACTGATCTGAAAGATCAACTGTGTCGGAGCGATTCTGAAAAATACAATTACTTAGAAGAATAAATAAAACTAATGTATATTAATAAAAAAAAGTCAAAAGTATATAGAAACAATCCTATAAAACTGCATGCACTTTAGTATTTGGTACACATGTACTAAATTTCAATATTTAATGCACATGCATTAAATATGACATGCATTATATAAATTCACATATGACTGACTATTGCTTTATAAACATAGGAATAATATGCCTATTTTATAAACTTAAAGTTATCTCTCAACAAAATTTCTGTAGCATATAAAATATATTTTCTATTAAAATTATCAATGGCAACTTCAACAAAAGATCGAGTAACTCAAATTTATGCATGACAAAGAATTATATTTTTTTAATTTTTTTATAATAATTACATTTTTAAATAAAATAAAAGTAAATGAAACTGCTTTAACATCAAGAAGACAAAGTAAAATTAGTGAGACTACTTTAAAAAATCACTTTTTGTGATAATTTCAATTACTTTAATTGACTGTTAATTTAAATGGTTTAAATTCTGCCATATTTTTTAACTAAACCTTTACTAAAATATTGAATAAATATGTTTTACAATTTATATTATATACTAAAAAATTTATAGTAGAGCTCTATTTTTGAATTATAACATGTGTGATTCAGTTTTAGTCAGTAGATTCAAATGTTTTTAACAACCATAAAAATACTGATTCTTATTGATTTAATGAACATATATTAATGTCCTTAAAGTGATTTATGAATTGTATTTAAATAGTCATATATAACCATTATAATAGCTAAGAATTACAATAGAGGCAAACATAACAATACACAATGCATGAACCTTAAATTGTCAATATGCGATCACCGCTCTTATAACTAAAAATGTATTAAATAAATCCACATAACAAAAAATTTCAAAACTCATTTCAATAAACATTGAAAAGCTTAGAATTTGTAACAATAAATCTCCAGAATGCACAGGCATTAATTTGGGAAGATGTCCATATCCATTTACCTGTGCTTAAAAAAAAAAATAAATAAATAATTCACGTAACTTTGGAGACAATTGGCACACATGACAATAAAAAGGCGAAAAATTATCGAAAATCGTCAACTCAAACAGGTACTGATATGAAAATATCCCTTTTAGAAAGCTAAAAATCTCACATTTTTTGAGCTTTGGTAGAGACAATTTCATTTAACAAAATTCCTGTTCAAAATAACTGAATAATAAAGATTTCATTTAAAATTATATTAATATTACTCTCATTGCACCAATGAAGAATAAAGCTCTTATCTGGGATATTTCCGTTAAGTGATAAGTTCCGCCAACTACAATTGTTAAGAAACCAAATGGATTTTAAAATGAAAAGAAAGATGGATTTTGAAATGAAAAAAGAAATGGATTTTGGAATGAAAAGAAAAACATGAGGAGGTTTGTCTACAAGTGGCTACAAGTTATACTCTTTGAGTTGGTCTCCTTCCGATATTTTTCTTTATTTTAAGTTTCTTGTAAACCTCAGCCTGGAAGCTTATGAAGACTTGGTTGTTATTGATGTTATTATGATGATCACGACATATCTGTATCGTGATCAGCAGCGAAATAATTGGAAAGTCTTGGCAACTTCCCGGCAGATGCCTGTAAGAAACTTAAATAAAAAAAATTAAAAAAAACAGATTAAGACAATCTTAAACGGTACAACTCTGAGCCATCCGCTGGGCAACCCTTTTTAAGATTTTTTTAAAAAACATTTGCAGGTTAAAAGTCTATTTGGTGCCTTGTGGTTATAATTAACAGTAGAGATCATAATACAGAAAAATCCACAATAGAAATAAAAGCTTTACAGAACCTAAGATTCAATATTTTATATTTTGCGACTCCCTTATGACGAAGATTATGATAAACACCCCTGCCCACCTAGACAAGATCTTTTCATAATGGTGCTGTTTCATGCCAACTGAAAACAAAAGTTTCGCCCTTTGAGTTTACTCACTTCTTTGATTTCTTTCTAGGCAACTTTATACATAAAATGTTATCCCAATTTAGAAAATTTAATTTAGGCCATTTTTAGTATAAAATTTTTCAAATTACAAACAGAAGCACCATAAGAAATCTAGTTTTATTTTATTTTGATATTTTTATTACTACTTAGCATTTTTAGCCATTGTTTTATTTTTACTTAATTGATTTAAAAATTAGAGAAAGATTTTATTATCGAGACCTGCACCAAAAATTGATAAAAGCAAATTAGTGACCGGCAAGAAACCTTACAGAATAGAAAAACATCACATGAAGGGAACGACTACAAGGTTGTAAATCAGTGGTTACCAACTGGCGGCCTGCGAAGCCTTTTTCGTTTCAGGGAGTTTAACATACCAACAGAGCAAAAAAATTTATTTCTCAGGTTTTGCATCCAAGAAAATATTTATACAAATCAGGGTTGGGTTTTTGACGTCAAAAAGTGGTTTTTGACATGACAAGGGTATAATGGTGGTTTAAACCGTCAAAAACCCGTCAAAAATGTCAAAAACTGAAGTTTGCCAANGTATTAATTAAATTTCACATATGAATATAGGTTTTTGACATTTTCGACATTTTTGACAGTGAGGTTTTTGACGTGACGGTTTAAACCATGGTTTAAACAGTCAAAAACTGTCACATGTCAAAAACCTGCCAACCCTGATACAAATACAAAAATAATCGCGTATGTTGCTTAAAAATTTACTTCTAATTTTAATTTGTAATTCAATACGTTGTTTTGTACAACTTATTAAAAATCTGACAGTAATATTTAATGGTCCTTCAAACATAAAAGAGTCCTAAATAAAATTTTGATAAAGTTGCAGCACACCATTCGGCTGTTTTTTTAAATTGCGGGCCCTGGTCTCACATAAGTTGGAAACCCCTATTATAAATCATAGCAAAAAACTAGACTTTTACAGCAAACTCTGCAAAAATAGATATTTTTAAACTTTTGTCAGCACAAAAATCTGCTAGTGCCTTGGCGATGATAATTGCCACAAACAGCTACAGAAATATTACCTAAACGGTAAACAAAAGGAAACAGGAACAATGGCTAATAAAAAAGAAATACTAAGTGTACACTGAGTTATTTTCAAAGCAAAGATTTCCAAAATTTCAATATATCTATAATAGTGGTAATTATGACAAGTATTTATGACAATTTACACCAAAATTTTTTACTAAGCAATAAAGGAAATAAGATTTCGCTATTTAAAATTATCAAAACAAACATTCGATATGCAATAATAAACTATATTAATCGAAGACAGGAGTTGGAAAATATTCTGATAATTTACAAAATATTATACATCTCTTAAAGAAAATGAAAATAGCAAATTATGAAACATAAGGACAAATAATACATAAATAAAGTGCAACTCCAAAAATTAGGGAAGATTTGCAGTGAGTGATTAAAAACACCGAAATTAAAACAAAGCTAGGTCTAATATTAAACAATATTAACTTATAGAATTTTCTTTTTTGAACAATTAAATGCAAACAATGGAATTATGTTTGCAAAATGTCTTACGAATATCATAATAAAATTGTGCAAAATTATTTATCAAAATTACCTTAGCAGAATCGCTGCCTGTCAGTACAGAATCTTCCGTGCCGTCTTGTAAATTAAGCATTGGTGCAGCAAAATATTTCTAAAAAGGTTATAAAATAAAGCAAAACTACTGGGAAATTGAAAAAATATTTACAATATGAAATTAATTTTAGATCCACCCATACATCTTATCCACCACTTAGCTCACCGAAGAAAACATTCACGGTAGGGAAGTGACAAACCGGAAACTACCGCCTCCCAGAGATAAAATTTCTTTTATTTTATTTTATGAAAAAAATTTGGATTTTAAGTAACTAAAATAAAATTTTGCCTTCAAAAATAACTTAAACTAATGACATCTAACCATTTGATATAAACCATGCAAATTTTTTACTTTCAATTCCATTTTGTTCTAAAAACCATTGACGTGTACGGTGTGATTTTGTTCAAGCTCCTTATTGGCTACAAAAAAACTAATGACGTATTAGTGCCCAATGATTGACTGGAACACATTTGCTGTATTTAAAATAATATGCCAGTCCAAATGTTACAGTTACTTTCTGCTCTTAAGCTTCATTGAAACTACCATTGCAAAACAAGAGCAATGCAGTTGAGCTAGAAAATCTTATTGGTCACAGAAAATCACGTGTTGTCTTGCAGACAAATCAAATCTGAAAATCAGGCAAAATCCTGTGTTTAAAGGTTACAAGCAAATACTCTAGAATATAAACCATACTAATTGCAGGAAAAAGAAACCGAAACTGATATTAGGTGTTCGTTAGTATTTCTCTATCGCTTTCTCTCTCTCTTTTTTTAAACTTTTCACGTTAAATAAAGTTTAAAACGTAATAAGTCATTCTGTCTATAGTCTTTAATAATTTCCATTTTCATAGTTACTTTTATTTTATGAATTATTTCGTTATTTATTGTATTTGTGTTGGAACTTTTTAAACATAGCTTGAAGCAAAATTTTTATACTATGTTGTAATTGCCAGAGCATTTTTTTAAAAAATTCGATATTGCCTATTATCCTTTTGTATCACATTGCAAAAACAAAACCTTTACATTTGTTCTATTTGTATTTTACACATATTTATTTCTAAGACTGTTAAATCATTAAAGCTCATTATTATAGACTAGCATCGTAATGGCAATTACAAAAACTACTGTCAATGATTCTTCAGAGTGCAAGGCGAATAGAAGAGAACATGCGATAAAAGACAGTGAATTAATGAATTGGGCAAAATATTGAGACTACTCCTTAATGATCAGCGATAGCGCTGACAAAAAAATTCTAGATCATTCGATAAAAAGAAAGTTTTGTTAGATGTATATCTATATATGTTACGATGCTCCGCCACAACACTGCTGTGCAATTGAAAACTCAATATAAGCGGCAAAATATTCAAAATTTGTGATTTTTATATACGAAATATTTGTATGGCAAGCTACATATTGCAAAAAAAAAATTCCAAAATAGGTTTTATTTTCAGTTTTTTGAAATTCCATTTTAGTGTTCATAGTATTAGCATAAAAGAAAAATAGTTATTTAGCCACTATTCTCGGAATCAAGCGTGAAGCACTTTGTTTCTTCAGTTGAATTCATAGTTTAAAATCTTGTTCAAAAAATGCAAAAACTCTTAATTTACAATAATAACCGAAGTAGATCCCAAAGAATTTAATAATAAAAAAATCTTTTAAATTGATCTCTCTGTGTTAAAATAACTACCACTGTTATGAGTTTTAAACTCGATGCTATGTTTTGCTGCTCAAGACTATTCGGAACTAGGAACTACTAATTCATGTTACAAAGGCACAGGATCTCCAACGGAATAAAATAATTTAACATTCAATAAATAATTCGAGAATTATTAACTTATAACAATGTCTCAACTCTACAGGTCATATTTAAGCAATTACAGACAGACTTGAAATTTGATGCGGTAAGAGCCATATTTGTTTATGAACTGATAAATTTTTTTAAAAAAGAAAAATTCTTATTTGTACAATAACCATTGTAATTTTAAGTGTTCATATGAAATTTTTTCTTACCTATTTTAGATATTGTTTTGCCGCATAAAATCTATAAGACTTAGAAGCTTGAAATCAGGTATGTAGGAAAATGTACTAGAAGCGTAACGGTATTAAGATTCGGTTATTAATTGTTAAACTTGTCATAAAAATCATTTTGGCCAATCTACTGCCCACTGAAGTGCAACTACAGAGTTTAAATGTCACATGTTGAAGGCCATTTTCAATTTTGAACTTAATGCAAATTCTTTTTTCAAATTATATTTGTGTGAAGGATCAAGCAATTTTATAAGCTTTAGCAGAACTAGAAAACATTATAAAAAAAGTCTAAATTGCATCAGTTAATATTTTTAATTTTATCACGTATTGAATTTAGTTTTTCTTTTCTGTTAGCATTCCTTACACATAAGGTTTAAGTCTTTTTCAGATCCATCTTAATAAGATTTAAAGATATCTCATTAAAACATTATTCCTACAACTGTATGAATTATGTTTTTATTAAGTAAAAGCTCCAAGTTGGAGCTTTTATTTTATATGAAATCTTTCATTTTCTTATTAGTATTTTAATCACGATAGATTCTTAGAAAATTGTTCTATGAAGAAATTTTCCCTGTTTCTTGCAAAATATAAAGAATAAGCTAAGTAAGTGGAGCACCTTATTGTAAACAGCTCATTTTGATTCAGAATCTCCAACTCTAGATCGGAAATGGAAGAGAAAATATGTTTATATGTGCACCCAGCCCAACAACAGAAACAAAATAGTTTTTTCTAATTAATTCAGTCGTTCAATAGAAAAACTACAAATAATGTCACGATAAAAAGGATGCAACAAATTGATATTGTAATTAATTTATTGCTAAAACGTAAGCAATCAAGTAATTAGAATATGTACATGAATTTTTCTTTTTTTTTTTCCTGATACAAAATTTAACTAAAATAAAAAAGTTTATTTTTGTAAAAAAAAAAATTTACTTTATAAAAAATCTAACGTTTTAAAAAAACCTTTAATATATTAAAAGCAACTGTTTTAAAATAATAATAAAACCAATTTTATTGCAGTATTAGTTTAATTAGCTTATATCAAATCCAAGTGAATTTGTAACTGAGCATGTGAATAAGATGACTGCCTGGTTAACCGAATATTTAAATAAGTTTCAGCAAAACTTTTCTTTGAAGAAAAATCTTGTAAAGAAGATGTTCAGATGTTAAAGAAGACAACCTATAGCAAAACTTTTCCACTGTTTTCGAGCTAATTTTCTGATGAAGTACTAATATTATTACAATGCAAAATAGATTTTGAGCATGAAATACATAGCATGTGATAGAAAAAATAGGTTTGAATTTTATTTCTGAACAAATAAATTTAGAAGAAAAAAAAGGATTTTATCACCAAAATACAAAAAAAAAATAATAATAATAAAATGACAAAAATAAAAAATCGTTCACAGTTTAAAGGGAGAGAAATGGCGCTAGAAAATATGGTACCACTATACATGAATGAAAAAAACTTTACAAAAAGAAACTTATTTAACCTAACTTTAATTTTTTATTTTCAAGGTTAAGATTTTAATAATTATAATGCAAGTACTAACGGTTTAGCAGAAATCAATATCAGTAATTTTTAATAATCAATACTTTTTATTTGGAACAAATATACAAAGGAATGTTAATACACTTACACAACTTAAATACTACACAAGAAAAATTTGTCATTAAAAAAACATTATTTCAAAAGTATATGCTTCAAAAAATATTGTTTAAGGAAACCTTCCTTTTATTCTTTAAAATACAAAATATTACATCAAAAATTAAAGTTTGATTTAAAAACTCACACATAAAAAGCAGGACCATGCTTAGGGCTTCAGCTACACTGTCTTAATTAAAACTAATAAGCTGCCTTTCAAAGTTAACCGTTACAAAACACTGAAATTTTGAATGAGTAGGTGCTTAAAACTATTATTACAAATGTAAATTAATACAAACTTGTAAATAAGCAATATTGAAAAATACAATTACAACTAGTAATTAAATCATAGGAAAAAATAATAAATTTCAAAAAATATCAAATTATATAAATTATTCCAACTTAAAAACTTGTTTGAACTCTTGAAATTAACTGCTTTTTGGATGACCTTAATTTTTAGCAGCCCTGATTTGTCATGCCCTCAACAAAGCCCTGCATCATTGACAAATAAATGGCAGTCTTTTGGCATAGTGTTTGAATAAAAATCTCATTTATAAGACTAGTAAAATTTTCTTAAAATAGAACTATTCTTTCAATCTTTAAACCTATATAGTGGAACCCCAGTTTTACATTTTCTGTTTCATACATTACTTTCTGTGTGTGTGAGAAAATTGCTTGTACGGATAACATTAAATTACCCCAAATTTTACGTTACCTCGCTTAATAAGTTTTCTAACAGATCAGTCTCCCTTTTTTCTTTTTTTTTCCTTAAACAGATCTCATACAAACTTTTTCTGAGTTCTTCATTTCATTTCTTTAAAAAAAATAATAAAGAGACTTGTTTATTAGTTGCTTTAATATTCTTTCTACTTTGTTGGTGAGAGGGGATTTGGTACTTTGGGATTATCCTGTTGACCAGTCAACACTCGCGAAAATTAGCAAATCCTTTAGCGAGATCAAAATGAAAAGCAATTTCCAAAATAAACATTCTAAACACAAATAATAATAATAAAAGCCGCCACATAAATCCTTCTAAAAGCGAATCAAAGTATTTTCGGGAAGTTACGCAGTGTTTCTTGTTTTGCCAAACCCTACAATCGTAAATATGATATAAATTGCAGTTATGGGAGTAGAAGCTACTTTTCAGCGATATCGAGATAATCCCAAAGTACCAGGGATTTCCCCCCTTGAGTAAAAATTAGAAGGGTGATGGAATGGGCAAAGCTAGAAAAGGATAGTTAAAGGGAAGGAAATGTGGGATCTAATCATTTAAGGAACGTTACACTAAACAACTGGTTATGTTATAATTTTTTTTTTTATTCCTGTGACTTGAAAGATGCCTTGGAAGAAAAAATAAATAAATGATCTGGAAGCTCTGAGTTTGATTTCTACAGCGTTAAACAGGGTCAACTAAAATGTTTTACAAATAAATTTAATAAATCAGGGTTCTTGGTATTAAACGAAAACATTTTGGAAAAAAATTATGTGTCTTTCAAAGTCAATAATGCGTAGATTAATAACAACACATATCCCAATACTTTTCAATATCTGATTTAATACCTGCTCTTAATGATAATGATGAAAACAATGTAGATGAGAAGAAATATCGGAGGATTTACCCACAACTGTGCAAGAGTTTCAAATCATAAAAACTTAAGAAACAATATTTATTTGCGAATGTAAATCAAGAAGTAAATTTGTAAACAATTAAAACTATATAATAAGCAATAATTTGTAAACAATTACACTTTTGTATCCCTGAATTTTTTTTTTGGTTGCTTCGTGCGATATTTATAGCTATTCCATCAGAAAAGTAACATAAGGGTTCCACTAGATTTTTTTAATATTGATATGAAAGATACACAGACAATACACATAAAATAGTAAAAGTTATGAAAATACACACATTTGTTTAACTCGAAAATTGAGACTGTTTACTAGGATAAATATACAAAAAATAATAATGGAACATTGATTAGAAATATTGCTTGGTTAAACAAAATCACTTTTTACTTTAGCTGTTCTCTCATATCATAATACAACAATTTCAGAAAAGCAGATATTTCATTTTTAATACAGGAAAATTTAATAGGAACATCTTGATTTCAAAGATGCGCTATGCAAAGTGTGATAAAAGTATTAATTAAAAATGTGCATATATGCAGAGGTTTTGGATGTGTAGTTAACACAAATGTTTAATATGCACTCCTGTTTTTATACGGCCTACTCAAAGTCTCATGCTGCAATCGATACTAGTACTAGCACATACTGATCTAGATTTTCAGATCAGTCATCTAATTGGACTGAGAGGCACATATAGAAAATCTTTTACAAATTTCCCACTATTGCATGCTGTAAAATATAAGGAGAGTGGTGGCCGAGGAAAGAATCAATTGTCTGCGGTAAATATGCTACCAATCCACCATTGCAGTAAGGTGCTACTGAAGTGGCATTGTTTTTACAAAAACGCGGAAGAGGATTGTATCGCAACCATTACTAATCTTACCTCTGCATATGAAATAAAATTTATGAATACATCTATAAATTACAGTAATTATTTCTACTTGTAAATGTCATGTTCATAAAACACATACAAAATGCCTAAGGCAAGAAGTAGGTAAAAATTAAAACAGCACATATTGTTGGAATGCTTATGAATGATCAGGAATAGAGCTGTCATAATTGTGGAGCAAACAGAGCTTTAGCCCGTATTTCTTTTCCTTCAAAATTTAGAGAAAAAAAATATGTGTTCTTTACGAACAGTAGTAAAATTACGGATTTCGTTTTTGCAATATTCGGTGTTCTTCATATTATAGCAGAAATCGGATTAAAATGAAACAAAATGAAAAAGGTTGGGTAAAAACCTTGCAGAAATTTTTTTTAACAACTCGCAAATGTAAAAAAAAAATTGACAACTCTTGCATTGAAATAGAAGGTCTTCTTTTTGCTTATAAAAAATAGCACAAATTAAATTTCTGTCCAACAAGTTTAACTTTAAAAAAGATTTTATATTGTTTTGAAAGCATAATTTGATAGATAGATAAAACGGAACTATATGCAGTTACGAATTATTACTAAATCCTATACCGCAATGGTCTTAACTTGTCACGGAGTATATCTATGTTTAAAAAGCTAATTTCCCCCCAAAATAATTTAAAATTTTGTTTTACTTAAGGGGAAAAAGTTTGCCTTTTAACTATGATTTTTTTTTATTTTTGAAACATTTCTTAGAATACATGTAAGTAAAACATTTTGATAAATTTTTTTTCAGTATTTTTAAACCATTAATTAAAACAGATTTTAGAGTTATTTTTACTTTTAGAGTACAGTCCTGCATCAATTCATTTTTATTAATTTAATTAAAAAGTTTAAGGAATGTTATTGACATCAGTAAAGGATTTTTTTTTAATAACTAACATTTTCTTTCAAAACAGAGATAATTCTTTTTTATTTATTTTAGATTGATGTAATATTTCTGGTTGTGTAGTTCTGCTTCAAAAGAAACAATATTCAAACATATGTCATATAACAATACACTGTCTAAAACGATCTATCACAATATAAAATTCTCACGTGGTCCAGTTCTAGCTGTGGCTCCAGTCAAAATCAGTTTATAAAACTGTATCAGTTAAATATACGTTCTTTCACACTTGAACAAAGTTTAGTTTTAAAAATGTAACCACTAGATGTAAACTAAAAATTACTTGGTATAATTTACAAAATCAAATAGCAAATCAAAACAGAAAATGGCAGAATTACTTTAATTAACACTTAAATTAGATTACAAACAAATTTTTAAATATTTTATCAAGACTAAACCATACCAAGACAAGAATTAAACCATATTTAATTTATTTCAAAAATATATTTGATTAAAATTGTAATCAGTTTGTAAAACTGTATCAGTTAAATGTAAGCTCTTTCGCATGAACTATATAATAAAGTTAAGTTTTAAAAATGTGACAATTATGATCAATAAGTAAATTAAAAGTTACTTTTGTATAATTTACGAAATCAAATAGCAGAACAAAATTACTTTCATTGACATTTAAATTAGATTATAAACAAATTTTGAAAATTTCATTATGAAAAAAAAAAAAACTTTTACAATTTTAAACCATAAACTCATTTCAAAAATATATTTGATTAAAATTGCAACACCGTACTGTGTTTCAACTTAGTAAATTGAATATAAATTTAAACTTAGTTGTTTTAATATAAAGTTTTAAAAATTTTATCAAGTTTTTGAATGCAAGTTATTATGTTCTAAAATCATTATATTGTAAGAAAAAATAGGACTTAATGAATAGCATTCTAATTTATATAGTACTGAAGAGAAGGATACCGAAAGTACAAGATTTCAATAAGGCACTTGAGATATTTAAATCACATGAAACAAAAAGAAGAAATTACAAAAAAAAGAATTTCCTTCAGTAACAGAACATAGTAATTGATTATTTGCCATGCAATAACATGTGTATAAAATATCACAAATGAATTTACACTTCAATCTCACCATTCACCTTTAGAGAGCATAAAAAATATATACCAAGTTTCATAGACAATACAACAAAAACTAAAAAAGAGTTGGGAAAAAAATAATTTCGTATAACTCAATACTCAATCAAAATAAAATTTCATTAGATCTAACATTACTTAAAATCAAAATACAGTCCTAAATTAGAGGGTTTTTTGGAAATAAAACTTTATAGGAAGTGGAATGATAGAAAGATTAGGTGTTAAAAACCAATAGTGCCTATAAAGTATACCAAAAGTTAGATTTTACTAAGAATAGATTAAACTCAAAAGGTGCACTGCTTTTTTTTAAACACCAATGCTTTATAAAGCATAATCGAAGATAATTTAGAGTATTCTCATAATATGCAATTCATACACTTCCAATTAAAAGAGAAGATACTAATTGGGGAATTTTCCTTGGGGGAGTATATTCTACCAATAAGGTCCTTACCAGCAATTGGAAATGTGTGTAAAAAAATGCAGTGAGAAAGATCCTTTAGGCACAACATTTGTACTGTATTGAGCTATTTAATGTCATTAATCATCACTGGGACAATTTTATAGGCTATAACAGGCTTATATATTTTATCTACGACTTCTGATAAATTCTCTACCCCAAGAACACAACAGCAACAATATTTTTCTTCATATTTTTTTGGTAATTTTTTTATAGATTTCAAAATATTTTGGTGATTCAAAATGAACAAATTATTGTCCCTTATTTCAGCTGAATCTACCTCTATTAACTGTTTTACATTGCCGTCTTTTTTAAGCACTATATCATAGGGATGCAAAATATCTTTTATTTCATTTAACCAAACAATATCAATAGTGCGAGACTGCCATTGTAATCTGAAATGACCAAAAGATGATTTACATTTTGAGTTGGGATACTTTCTTTTATAATAGTTTTGAAGTAGAGTAAATACGTAACTTTCTCTTAATCTCTTCGGATTAGATTCATTCGTCAATGTTCCTTTCATCGAATTATTACTAGATGTTTTAAGTTGATTTTTAACTGCTTTGTTTTGAATAACATCCAACTCTTGGGGCAATAAGCTACTAAAATCTAACACATTTCTGCCAATGGAGTTGGCTCTGACTTTCTGAAGTCGAAGATTTTCCTGTTCGCTTATAATTGTATTAAGTACATTATTATTATCATTTCTAATTCCTGTTGAGTTTTTCAAAGCTACTTCATCTTCACTATTTGTATCATTGTCCATAATTTGCTCAACAAAATCTTCTGATTTCACATTATTTGTAGATATTACATTATTCACATTCTTATTAACTTGCACGTTTTCTAATTGGTTACTTGAAGAAGTTCTTTCTCTTAGTTGGTCAATTAAAGATACTGCATCATATCTGATTTTCTCAGGTAAAAACTTTTCAACTGATAATCTATCATTTGTTCCTGTTCTCATGTCAAAATTTTCAAGGCTGCTTGTGCACAATGATGCCTCTTCTGAAGAAGAATCTTCATCATCTTCACTATTTGTATCATTGTCAAATTCTTCTGATTTCACATTATTTGTAGATATGGCATTCATATTTTTTTTAACTTGCATACTTTCTAAGAGGTCACTTAAAGTGGAAGATCTTTTTCTTAATTGGTCAATTAAAGATACTGCATCATATCTGGTTTTCTCAGGTAAAGGCTCTGTTTCAATGACATTCTTTTCAACTGATTTTCTATCATTTGTTCTTGTTCTCGTATCACAATTTTCAATGCTGCTGGAGCACAATGATGCCTCTTCTGAAGAAGAATCTTCATCATCTTCACTATTTGTATCATTGTCAAATTTTTCTGATTTCACATTATTTGTAGATATGGCATTCATATTCTTATTAACTTTCAAGCTTTCTACTTGGTTACTTAAAGTGGAAGATCTTTTTCCTAATTGGTCAATTAAAGATACTGCATCATACTTTGTCTTCTCAGGTAAATGCTCTGTTTCAATGACATTCTTTTCAACTGATTTTCTATTATTTGTTCCTGTGCTCGTGTCACAATTTTCAAGGCTGCTGGTGGATACGGATGCCTCTTCTGAGGAAGAATAGTCATCAGCAGAGTCTTCGCAGACTGATAACTTTTTGGAAGAACCGACCGATACAAAATCTTCCAGAGCTGATGTATGACTCTCTTTTAAAAGATATTTACCATTAGTTGAATTGTCTAATGAATGTGATTTATTAATGTCCTCATTTTCTACTTTAAACAAAAGCTTTTGTAGTTCAGCTTTTATTCGATTTAATACCTTCTTACCTTCATTATGATAATCATTCAACCAGTTTAGAACACTTTTATTAGAACTGACATCCATGGAACAAATAGTTCCTATATTTGTTTTAAGATTTAGCTTTGTTCTCATATGTTCATAGATTTCAGATTTAAAATTTCTCCAATTACCATTAACGTACACTATGAAGTCATCAAAATGAGTGTTGATGTCTACTGGCTCACCAAAAGGATATTGCACAGTAATACGTTCACAAGTATATAATTTTAAAACACTTAACTTTTCAAATAAGTGTTTTAGAACAATGCTGGGATTTTCATTTAATTCTGTTGATTCTTGAATAACTATGAATGGCAAACGTTCCATATAGAAATTTTTTAGAGAATCACTCGCAGTTTCTTTAATGAAGTTAAAGTCTTCCTTAAATGGTAAAATATTCACTCCACAAAGTTCTGCTAGATCTAAAGTGTCACTGTGAGACATATCAACTATTCTTTTTAAGTAACATTTCTCTAATTTGCACTTGACTTGTTCTTCCTTAAAATAATAAAGATTAGATGCGAGAACTAGATAATTTTCTTCGGAAAGTAACTTAAAGCCGCAACTTCTAACTTCAGTTTTAGATTTAGATCGCAGTTGCTCCAAAATACACTTGTAAAACGTTAATGTTTTTTGTTGTCCCGATAATGGATTTTTTTCGACAGTTTTAAATAGCCCCATAATACACAATAAATCAAGTTCTTTCTTTAATCCAAGCCAATCTTCTAATTCTTCTGGCAATGCTTCATATGCCAAAACAGGCACAGAATTCGGATCTATGGAATGCATGGTATCAAATTTAGATGAATATAAGTTCATCGATAAATATTTTCTTTTATTTTTGGCCAACAAACAGGATGCAGTCTTAAATTTGCTCCGCATACATTTCAGCAGCCCATCCGATTTAGGCGATGCTCCGTTTTTTTTCCAATAAGTAACTAAATGGGTGAAAAACCAATTCATATTATTTTCATTATTCAAATAATTACTATATTTTTCGTAGATGTCAGTGAATTGAATGTTGCGTACCCCGAGATATTCTAAAGCTGCTTTCAAATTCATCGACTTCAAATCGTAATCTGAAGAAACCAATTCATTGGGAGAAATAATATCTTCTATTCCAGGAATCTCTTCATTATTTTCAGATGCTGGCCAATAGCACTTGCAAGCAGGGGAAAAAGTGTTATCTTGCGTTAATATAATGATATTTTTCAAAGCATTTCTTTGTTTCGGTTTTGAATCAAGGCCAGATTTAATAGAATTCAAATTTTGTGCAATGTACTTAAGAATTTCATGGTGATTATTTCTATTTATTCTTTTAGACAAATTCTCCCCTTCATTATGCCATTTAATAATACTTTCTCTAATAAACAATAATGGATCTACAGTTTTCTTAACTCCAATGTCAGTTAAAAATTTTTCTAAATTGGAAGAAATGTCGCTAGTGGAAACTTGTCTGCCTTTAGTTATCACGTGCTGTAAACCTTTTATTTTTGGAATTGCTTTATCAAAGTATGAATGTTGCGCTTTGTGAAATGTTTCATCCATTGTCAAAACTAAAAAATCTTTCAGTAACTCTCTCTTGTGTTTTGGTAAAGGACGATCAAGTGAGGAAATATGTGAAGCAATATAATCAATTATGGGTCTATAATTGTCTTTTGTGATCATGTCCTTCATTTGGTCTTTCTCCAACCACTCAAAAATACTTCTGTTAAGTACTTCCAGAAAATTGAGTTTGCTATTGATACCAATACGGATGAAAAAACCTCGTAAAGACTTTGTATCAGGTTTTATATCGTATGCAGATGACAGTTTCTCATCATTTGAGATAACAATATCAGCTAGTTCTTTAACAGGTACAGCATCAGGAAGATAACATTGCCTTACGGACCTGAAAAAGTTGTTTTCAGTTAGAACAGGCAATTTTTCTCTAAGTTTCACAATTTCTTTTTCATTCAACTGATTGATATTAATTGCAAGATAATTTATTATTTTAACATGGTTTTTCTTATTAATTCTTTCTTCAATAATACCGGAACCAGAATCTAACCACGTTAATATGCTGTCTCGAATAACTTGAATCGGCGTGCCCAAACGCCGAGCTCCCAAATCGCAAAACCATTGCTTAATCGCTGCAAGATTTTTCTCGGGCAGATATTGGTTATCAACGGGGTCCAACAGTGAAAAGTCGGGTATTGGATTTTGGCTTTCTTCGATTGCAGCTTCTTGAGGCGGCAATAGCTTTTTATTTTTAGTTAAAAGAAATGGAAAACTTTTCAATTTAATTTTCATACGGCCATTCTCTTTGAATTTTTTATAAAGATATGATATGAATTCAATGTGAGATTTTTGAGTTAATTGAGGATAGTACTTTTCAGGAAAGTCCCTAAACAGGTTATCATGGTTGAAGTGCTTCGCTTCTCCTTCTTGTTGAAGCAAATTGATTCTATCCATCACATTATAATCAATAAGGCTAGGATATATTGCATGATCTCTAATTTTGTAAAAATTCTGCTTGAAGAATTCGATGTCATCACTCCAAGCCTCTCCCAATCTTAGCAAATGTTGTCCATGGTGAGATGGCAACCAAGGTATTTTCCCTTTAGCATCATTCAAACCTCTCCTGAATGCTCTGGCAAAGCTACGATAAGGATGTTCAATATCTCTCACATATAGTGAAACAACTTGATTTTTTAACTGTGCTAGAGAAGTCAGATCTCTCAGCAAGCATAACTGCAACTGCCCTACCGCCTCAATCAAAAATTCATTCCACTCATTTTCGTGCAATTGTGTTCGATCAAGATTAAGAATGAAAAAACTGTTCAAATGATAAGGTAATGTCAAATACAGCTGAGTTGGCAGTGTACTAAAGCAAAGTCCTTTGACATTTAAAATCTCGGTTAACCACTCATTACACTTCAAAGCATATGTAATATTTACTCTTTTAGCTGTTTTAATTTTGTCTGGATAGACAAAACGACTGGCCCCTTGAATATACTGCCTAGTTTCTGGGGGTACTGGAGATTCATAGGATTTTATCAGCCATGTACTTACTAAAAAACAGTTGATAAGAAACGAGACTTTGTCAAATTGACCTAACTGCTCCCTTTTCCTTTGAATATAATAATCTTCACCATTTAAAATAATTCTCAGATTATTAATTCTGTGCAAATACAAGAGCAAGTCTGGCTGATCAATAAGCTCTTTAAGTTGCCCCTGAAGTTCATCAACATCTTTCACACGCAATATAAAATTAACGGGGTAACTATAATTGATTGTTCCATGAAGAGGCAACTCATCAGCCCTACACCAAATCGGAATAACTTGCCAAGGTCTTTCTTCAGGGTTAGGCCATTGTGTTTTGTCAAAACGAAATGAGTAACCATTTGAGACAATGTAAATAGTGTCTGATAAATTAAACAAAGATTTAAAACCTAGACCTTTGTAACCAGTTTTGCTTAAATCATTTGCTTTGACTTCTTCAATCTGAGAAGCATAGTCACATATTCTTTCCACATCATTATGATCAAATCCTTTTCCAGAATGATGAACAATTAAAAGGTCCTGGCAAACACAGAACACTAAATCAATTGTTTTATGTATCTCTTCGTAAGCATCATCGGCATTTTGTAAAATTTCGAACACAAACTTACTTTGCCCGCTTAATGCAGTTTGGATGACAGTATTCGATAGATTTGTGAACGATCGGAGCACACTGGATTCAGTAGTGTACTCATCATGAATGTTCATAACATGTCGAAACTGAACAGACATTTTAGAGCAAATCAATCAAAATTAAGAATAACAGAAAAGTCACAAGAAATATTTCGATTGCGTAACAATAATATAATTGTTTTCTAAATCTTATCATTATTTATTCATCAGTAAATATCGAGAGACTAAAGCGTGAATTAAATTTAAGAGGGAAGTTCCCAAAACCAAGTTTTGGAATTAAAAGGCAGAAATTTCGCATTGAAACTAGTAACCTTTAAACATCAGATTAAATTTCGGTTTTTCTCCTAGTAGTTCATAAAACTATCATCAATTAAATTAAAATTTTTATTAATTAAATCATAATTAAAATTTTTATCAACTTTAATTAAAGAGAAAAATCAATTACACTTTAAAGATGAACGTTGCTCGGCAACCGTAATTCATTGTCAGGTAGAGAAATCTTATTGGCTGGTTTTGGTATCGTTTTCACTTAACTGTTGTTCATGTTTACAACATTTAGCACAACAGCCCTTTTTGGCGTCTTTAAAACCGCATGCGCATTTATTGCAGCTGGTGCGCGGACATATTTTCAATCAACATTTATATGCTTCATGGAAAAGACAGTTTTTCATTTCATGGGGTGACAAATCTCATTCAGCAAATTATTCTTAAAAAAAGGGAGGAATGGACAGTGTAAATGTAAGCAATATCGAGTTCCATATCTGCTACTTACTAATTATATGTAATTAGTAAGTATAATTAGAAATGTTATACTTATAACTTACTAATTATTCTTATAAGTATATAATTTTTATGAAAAAGGGGGGTAGACTAATAAAATGTACGTACTCTAATGGAGGGGAGTAAGATCCTATGTATGGTAATGTACGAAGGGGGGGGGATATAGGGGTTAAAATTTCTCCATTTTTGTGTACGTGCTTTTTGAACGACCCCCAAACGGATATTTCTGTTTCCAATAAAGGAAATAAATTAGATGATTTCTGAGCTCAAATCTGCCGTATTTTATAAGATTGAGTTTGAAGTGAAAATTTGTTTTAGTTACTTTGATTGACTATTACATTTATTGATAAAAAAAGAATAAATATTTTATGTGACTCTTTGATTTATTTTAAATATAATTCGATAATTAAAATAAGCTGAAGTAATTAAAGATATTTTTAAAAGTAGGAAATAAATATGTGCTGCCAATCGTGGCATCACAGGGGAGTTGCTATTTGAGACGAATTCCTGCTAGCAGATTCATCAATTGCTTTGGAGATTTCTTCAGTGCAACTGTTCGTAAGAAATCTTGTTCTTCAGTTCGTAAAAAATCTTGTAATTAGAGTTGAAACCTAGTGCCTGAACACTTGTTCTACTAAATGTTATGATCTAGTGTGAAAGGTTTATTTTACAGGTTTAGACCCGATCACGAAGTCCAATCCTGTCTTTTATGCAGTAGACATGATTCATCTCCAATATTACATTTTAATGTAATTTAAAATAAAATAATAAAAGGTTACTATTATCGGGTTTGAAATCACATTGCGCCAGAGTATGTGATTTCTTCTCTAGTTTTCCTGTTTTTTAAACTTGCAAGGGGACTTACAGCGTTTTGCTGCATTTCCAAATTTAAAATGATACCAACACTGATCATACTTTTTGGGTGTTTGTGAGCGATTACGCTGGCGAAAAGAATTGTTGCGTTCGCGATTTCGGGAAAGGCGTTCAACTTGTTTAGTAAGTTCCGCTATTTGTGTTCGCAATTCACTCATTTCAGAAGATGGATNTGCTTAGAATCACGTATTCCCGAGAAAGAGGGAAAAAGTTGCATATTCCCCGTCTTAAGGATTGGGAACATTACGGTTTGGAATCGTGCGACCGGTTTCATGCCTTTGGACCCTCTCCCTTCCCTCTCATCCTCTTTTCAGTTGTATAGGAATGTATTACGATATATTCCCTTTTCTTAATATTTTTCCTTTTTATTTAATAAGAATATTTTAAAATTTCCGTGATATTTTTCTTTAGAACTATGTTTAATGTAGTTTTCAGTTCCNCAGTTTCGAAGGCATGAAACCGGTCTCTCCCCAGATGGCGTATTCGAGTGTTGCGATCGCGAATATGAAAATCACTGCTAACGTACTTCCGCTTCTTAGGACTCTCCACACGCTAATGGGGAAAGAGTTGCCATAGGTAGAGAGTTCTGCTCTACGCCACCTGCAGCCCACTTTGATTACCAATATTTTATGTTTAACAAAGACCTTTCTTAATATTATCGATCATCATGATTATCTTATTTTATATTGTTTATGATTATATTGTCGTTTAATTATACCCCATGCCACTCTACATTTCTTGATTGTCCATGTCACACGAACCCCGTCTCGAATTTTGGTGCTGAGCTCCCCCTCTTCCCCCATCTCCATTAATCCTCACTTCACTACTACTTCTCATCATCGATTTATTTCTACCGATGAATCACTTAATGCCGCTTCGCAGTAGAGCACCGAGATTTATGTGATTTCTACTATTCTGTTAATTAGAGGTTAAAAGTTTCGAGTCAGAATACTTTGTGTCTCAAATCGAAACCGGGTATTTCAGATTCCCCCCTACTACTCTTATCTGCACGAAATACACAAAGGATTATAATCTGATCAAACTTTTTTTTCTTCTTGTGTTTGTACGATTTTTAACAAAATATGTAAATTGTTTTCATCAGAAATGGTTTCACAATATGCACATATTTCTAGCATCTTCAAGGAGTATACTGCTGAATCCCGAGTTCTGCGCTCGTTTACTAATCTATCCAATACAGTTATTCAAACAGCATTGAGTGGTCAAAGTAAGTTTGTATTTGAACTTCTACAAAATGCCGATGATGCATATGAAGCTCACCAGAAAGCGGTACACGTGCAGTTCATAGTGAAAGATAACTTTTTTATTGTGCATCATAATGGCAAAGGCTTTGACTACAGTGATGTGGAGAGAATCTGCGATTACGCTTCTCAAATCAAAGAAGTCAAAGCTACTGATTTAAGCAAAACTGGTTACAAAGGTCTAGGTTTTAAATCTCTTTTCAATTTATCCGACACTATTTACATTTGCTCTAATGGGTACTCATTTCGTTTTGACAAAGGATTTTGGCCAAACCCAGAAAACAGACCGTGGCAGGTTATTCCTATTTGGTGCGGAGCTAATGAGTTACCTCTGTATGGAACTATAGATTATAGTTTCCCAGTTAATTTCGTCTTGCGTGTGAGGGATATTAATAAACTTAAATTCCAACTCAAAGAAGTTGTTGATCAACCAGATTTGCTGCTATATTTACACAGAATCAACAAATTGAGAATTAATTTTGACGAAGAAGACCATATTATAGAGCGAAAAATTGAACTATTTGGGCAAACCTCTAAAGTTGTGTTTTATAAAAACCAGTGTCTAGAAAGTACTTGGTTAACTAAAACATATGAGTGTCCTATTCCTCCTGAAATTAAAACTATAGTTCGGGGAGGCAGCCGTTTTATTTATCCTGAGAAGATTAAAGACGCTAAGAATATATCTTTAACTTTTGCTCTAAAAAGTAATGAGGCTTCAACGGAAATTTCTAAGATTAAAGGCCTTTGTTACAATACATTGCCAACTCAACTGCACCTAATGTTGCCTTATCATATAAACAGTTTTTTCATTCTCAATCTTGATAGAACACAGTTGCATGAAAATGAATGGAATGCATTTTTGATTGAGGTCATTGGGAAACTGCAATTCTGTTTGCTGAGAGACTTGACTCCCGATCATTATTTAAAAAACTATGTAATCTCGCTTCTTGTGAGAAAAATAGAGCATCCCTATCGTAGTTTCGCCAGAGCTTTCTCAGGAGGTTTTATGAATGCCATAAATACTCCTTTTATACCTTCTTACGACGCCACACACTTGTTAAAACTTGGACAAGCTTGGACTGATGAAATTGATTTTTTTAAACAGAATTTTGATAATGTATATGATCATCTCATTGGACCTTGCCTCATTGATTACGATGTGCTAGACAGAGATAGTTTAATACCTAAAAAAGAAGTTCATTGTTTCAATTATCAACATCTGTTCGAAAATTTTGCTATGAAATATTATCCTCATTTCACAAAGAGCTCTTATATAGATTTCATTTCATATGCTTATGAAAAATTGAAGAGCAACATTCCGATTAACAAGAGAATACGAAATATCCCCTTTCTTGTGACTAGAAATAAGACACTGGTCTCTCCTCAAAAGGCAGTGATAGAAGATGAGGAAAACTTAATACCAAATTATTTATTCCTAAATCCAGTTGACAATGGGTATTTACCGCAAGAAAAGCAAGAATCAGTGAAGGATTGGTTGCGTGAAATGGGAGCTCGAATATTAAAAACACCCTGTCATGTGATTCAAGAAAGTGTGTTTAACTGGATTCATTCGGGCTGCCTTTCTGAAAAAATGAAAAATAATCATGTTGCCATTATCGAATATCTAGCAAAGAATATTGATCAACTATCTTCTGAAGAAGTTGCTAAACTAAATGAACATTTGATGGTTCTTACAGAGAAAAATTCATTTCGTCTTGCAAAATCCTGTTTTCTCCCCGATATAATGCCCATGAAAGAGCTTGCTGATGTTGTAACGAAAGATGCAAAACTTTCTTCTATGTATGATATGAATACTTTGAGGCACTTTTTTATTAGAATCGGCGTGAAAAACCGAATTCGGCCAATGAATGTGGTACAAAGAATATTAGAATGGATAAAAAGTAATGCGATATGGAAAATAATTACTAAAGATAATTACAGTTTGATTATGGAATGTATTGCGCAAAATTACCTATTAGTTGAACGCAATTTACAGGAGTCAGATAAGGAAAGTTTTAAAAATATTCCAATTTTAACTAAAGGACAAAAATTGATGCAAGCTCGCAGTTGTTTCTTTGAAGCAGCCATTCCGACTGTACAAGGCTTTGAAAATATAATTAACGCAAATGAAATTGTTCTTTTGAACAATGAGTCTCAGATTGTTCATAGATTTTTGTCACTATTGGGAGTTTCAGAGCAAATGTCTGTTATAGAAGTAATGAGGAAAAGTGTAATACAATGGATAAGAGATGGTAAGATTTCAGAAAAAATAAACAAGGAAAATCATCTTGCTATTCTAGGGCATATAGCTTCACAATGCCATTTTTTTTCTAGTTTAAAGCAAAGAGAGAAAAGTGATTTGAGAAAAATGTTAATATTAACAAAAAATAACACTTTCAAGCCAGCTTGTACCTGTTTTTGGCTGATTTCTACAATGGATGACATGCAAA